CCGAGAAGCTGAGCTGCTGCTCTTATGCGTTTCTGGTCGGGAGGATAAGGATCCTTTTAAAAATTGAGGGTTCTTTTTCCTCTCTTTTTCATTTTTCCATGTATCCTCTTCCCACTTTTCCAGTTCCCGGAAGGAAGGAAGCTTCCCACCATCATGGTCTAGCTTCCTCCGCTGATGCCGGGTATGCGGAGGAGTTCGATTACGAGGTGGTGGCATATTTTGTGCCCTCATTGCCTCCATGAGCATTGCCAGCGCTCTTGCCACCTCCTCCGAGCTGGGCCCCGTCAAAGGGTCCTCGGCCGAGTATGGGAATGAGGGAGCACAGTCGATGGTTGGCTTTGGGGCACTGAATGTGTCCTATGATCGGACTCACCCCTGCTAGACCGAGAGTGACTCGGCCTATGATAAGTCATGAATTACGGGAGAAAGAGAATCCTCCTTGTATGATCCTCCCCCCGAGCTGGCACCCTTGGGAGAGTTCCGGTCCGGCGAGGGTGATGGTGTAGAGGTTTTAGGCTTTTCGCCCGCTCCTTGACGGAGGCCTTTACTCTTGCGGTTCTTAGACATTGCTACTAAGATAATTGCAAGATGATCTTGGTTAGTGTTTTGGCTTAAAGATTTTTGAAAGTCTTCCCCACAGACGGCGCCAAATTGTTTCGGGTGAAAACAATGGGACCTTGCCGAAGGTCCGATGAAACGGAGAAGACTAGATTCGGTCCAAGTAATGTTGGACCGAAGGTTTCCTGCACATTAAACACACGTAAACTAGCCTCGGGGGTGTTGCCGAGGAAGGCCCCTCCGATGCTAAAGTCAGTACAATGTGTTGAAAGAGAAGACTATGCAAGAGAATTAGTTGCTTGAGGCTTTGCTTGAATTAATGAGAATCTATGTAAAAATGTAATATTGATGGCTTTTATACCTCTTCATACATGGAGATGTTGGGTCTTAGCCCAATTGACTTGCCTTGAGGGCTGATCTTTGACTTTAGCACAATTGGAGAGATGAACCTTGACCTTGGGCTTTTAATTGGATCATTTAATGCCTAAGCCCAATTGGACTAAATTGGACCCAAACAATAATAATAATAATAATAATAATAATAATAATAATAATAATAATAATAATAATAATAATAATTTAGCTTAAAATTATTTAGACTTTTAGTTTATTTTTAGGCTCTTAATCTTAAATCGAATTATTGAAAATAATGGGATGAGACTGAAGCTTTAGAAAAGTCAAGCAATAAAAAATAACATATGAGTACGAGTAGTTGCTTTCTTGTAGTCTCAAAATACATCAAAACAAATTGAACCAAAATAGTACTCCGTAATTCATAGTTACGTACTCCCTCCATCTCTTAATTAGATTTTTTTTTCATATTGGCAATCTACTTTATTTTCTAAAAAAGTTTACAAGCTCCTTGACAAAAAAAATAATAAATAAATAAATAAATAATAATGTTCATATCTCTATGACAATCAATAATTAAAATTTGCAAATTGCAGTCATTTAAAGTTCGTATTTTGCAAATTGCAGCCATTAAAAAATAAAATTGCAAATTGCAGCCCAAAAATTCATATAAATCGTAAATTGCAACTCGATTCAACTTTTTCATCGGTTTACAAGTTGAAAAATTTTCGATTAAGGTTTTAGGGGCCATTTAGCTCTTAGGGGTCCGAATTGAGCTCGGAATTAGCAAAAAAAATAACACAAGTATCTTGTTTTGCGTAACAAAAATGTATCGATTTGTGGAAAACTGTAAATATGAGACACTTACGTTATTTTTTGCTATTCCAAGCTCAATTCGGGTCCCTAAGGGCTGAAATGACCCCTAAAACCTTAAACGAAGATTTTTTCAACATGTAAAATGATGAAATGATTGAATCGGGCTGCAATTTACAATTTATACGAACTTTTGGGCTGCAATTTGCAAAAAAAAAAAAAAATTAAATGGCTGCAATTTGCAAATTTTCCTAATTATTAATTCACAACATTTTATCTAAGACGAAGATAAAACTATAGTTGGAAACTCTAGTGTTGTAAGTGGTGTCATGAATTTAATACACACATTTGCTCTTGTGATAGTCAAACAAATACAAGATAATTAAAAGCCATATTAATTGCTGAGTGCTCTGTATTACTCTTTAGCAAAGGTAATATGGCATGTTCTATACATGTTTGATCACGTAAATCTCAACTTAATTAACAAATGTGAACATGAGATCTTGAGAGCACAAATCACATATGGATGTGAAGGGTCGATAAATTAAAAAGACGTATATTATTATTATCCTTCAATAATTCAATATGATGTATAAACAAAATATTAAAAAAATAATAGTAATAAAGCAATAACAAAAACATGAAGATATTTGATAGTCATATTCCCACGTTATCATGTAAATCTTGGCTGAAAAGGCGCACAAAAAAAGGAGGCTATTACACAATTTGCATGAACTTGTTTTTCCAAATTCCAACCAAACTCAAAGGAAATTAAATAAAACCAAATAAAATACTATCAACATGAAGACTTCATGACTTAAGAATTTATGATAATTATTGTAGATCGATCTTACAATCAATAATAGGAAATAGTCAATGATAGATGCCTTGTATATTTATTTTATAATAGAATCTTTATTCCTTGGGGTAAAAGCAAATATATACTCCGTATTATATGCGTACAACCTATATATAATGAAATAATACGGAAAATCATATTAAGGAATCAAAGAATATGGCTTGAATCTGTCCTAATCAAAGGTTTTATACTCTCCAAATATTTGTCAATTGTCATTAAACTCATTATATTTCATAATTTATATCGAGAAGCAATGAAAAATCATTGACTATGACTTTAGGAAAGATTAGAGGCATAATCTTACGCATAAGTTTTGCTTATCTAATAATCTTTTGCCCATTTCTTTGTCACTACTTGTTATAATTAGTCTGTACAAACATAAGTCAAGGTCTATCAAGTATAAGAAATCAATTATACTTGTATGAAGTTTGATGGCAATAATCGACATAAAGGTGGTATAGTTGTATGTACGTCTTGTGTGAAATCACATAATAATTATATCGACGTAAAAGTTAGCATATTTTGCTTTATAATAGTGTGAAGATAGTTTATTATGGTGCCATATGAGCTGTGATAATGAATTATCACAAAGCCTCTCAAATACGATGTATAAGTTTTTGTTAACCATTTTCTTTATAACTATGAATAAGCATTGAATTTCCAATAAGTTTTATATCATGCTTGGAATATTCATTTGATAGATATGCTTGGGGGTTTTTAATTATCATATGTCATTTGAAGTTGTGTAGTCTAACTACGTAGTTTAAGTTGGAGTCAAAATAAATTTTAAAAAAAACGATCAATGTCAGGTAATTGAGAATTTTTTCCTCCTACCTAGTGTGAAGGTTGTGTTTGATGATGATAGCTCTCACAAGTCAAATACTTGGAATGAGATTCGAGTAGCATGCACATGGAAGGTTTCTAGCTTCAAAAGTTTCCTTAACACAACTATCACCAAGAATATTGATAATGATTTGGCTTCTTGCTAATTTGGACTATAATGAGAAATTGCGCCTAAAAACAAAGTGATTGAGGCAAGTCCTAACTTTACAGCAGACTTCAAATGAGAATTACAATCAAGATATTAGTGTGAAAATTTGAAAATGGTACAAAGGATCCCTTCTAACATCAAACTAATAACTAATGAATAACGACAATACTATAACTTTTCTTGATAAATGTACTATGAATAATTAAAGAGGAAGAAAACTTTGACAACATAATGGCCATTTAGACAAACAATTGTTCTTTGGTGATCCAATTATCTATGGATCACAATTTGTCCTAATTATTGGATAAGTGAAACAATGGATAAATGAAAAGGGTCGAATTAACCGGGTTTTAATGGACATGGTTTTTATTATAGTTTTGTAACAAAATTATACACTAATTAAAAATAAGAATGTATACTTGTAGTTTCGTATTCACATGTGCTCACTTTAGTCTCTACTCTTATTTGTTTTTCCTTGCTCGCTTATGTCCTAAACCCTCTACAACCTACGATCAATCCACAAACCGCTTTGAGTTGACCTGTTTAAAATGTCAAGAGGTGACCTAGCTCAACCCTGGCCTGCATCAACCTTTACTTGACCCACTAACCAGATTTAGGGACCACTGATAGGCTCATGCTCAACTAATCACCAAAAATCAGCCAAACGCAACAAATATTGTGACTAGATGTCATCATCATATAAGTTCTAATCTGGTAAAGGAGAAACAAAAGCACAATTTTATTTCTATTTCTAATCTATTTTCTCAAAACTCCTTATTAAAGGAGTTCAAACTTCATTCGTTTGTTTTTAATAACATTCTAATTCGTGCAATATTTACCTACTTTCTTTTTAGTTGCGTAACACTTATATGTATAATTACTTATGGATGGTTAAACTTATACACAACCAATTAAAAAAGTCAAAGTTATACAAAGTATTCCGTACTATTAATGGTTCAACACACTGTACACCAAAACTGATTGACAGCAAAATAGAAGTATAACAAAAGTTATACTCCTACTAGCGTTAAAACAACCTGGATATAATAGAGTACACTATTCATCAGACGCGTTGTTTCGCACACAAAATACGCGTCCTTAGCAAGTTTCTCATTCTTTGGAGGCCCACGTTACACAACACAGCAGCCGTTACCAATTTAATAATTTATATAAATCAAATAAATATTAGTCTTTTTAAATTTTAATGATTTCCAGCATACTCTATTATTGTCCACAAGCAAGCACAATCTATTTAAACTATCATATAAATTATCCCCTTAAAATCATACCCAACATTAAAGTTGCACAAACAAACGACTAAAGGCAGCTGAAAAAGCAAAAAAAAAAGTTGCAACTGCCTTAAAGGCACCATTTGATCTTTGAAAGCAAAGCAGAGATAGAAAGCAAAATCTCAACCATAGTACATACATGGAGCAAACAGAAGACGACCCACCTCCTTTTTGGATACAGAGCAATGCTGCCCTCCGTCAGGCAGACCGTCATCGGCGTAGACACAACCCGGCATCGAGCTTATTCCTCAATACTGGTGTTCTGGTTGTGATTCTGCTGGCTGCAGCTGTTGTATTTTTAGCCATAGTGATCCCTTCTGTATTGTCTCTTGCTCGCTCGGTCTTTAATCCGAGCTTAGTGAAGAGCAGTTGGAACTCACTTAATCTGATTCTTGTCTTGTTTGCAATTGTTTGTGGGTTCTTGGGAAGGAAGGATGATGATCAAACACCAGTTAGCAGTCCTATGAGACAAGAATCTAGCAAGTCCGCAGAGTCATCGACTCCACGCCGGTGGTATGAATATCAAGACAGTAGGATGGCACACAATAGTTTTGGTAATGCAGATACTATGAGAAGGTTAAGAAGGAACAGCAGCTCATACCCGGATCTTCGGCAAGAGGGACAATGGATGATGAGCGAGAATAGGTGGAGATCATATGATGATACTCATCTGTATAATCATCAATTTTCGAGATCTGAGAGTCGTATTAATCGTAGTAAATCTCTTGGAGTGGTGGATGAAGATGAGTTTGATGTTAAAAACATTGAGGTGGATACATTTGTAGGTGGTGCCAAACAGGATATAAAACCATCGCCACCAACTCCGCCACCATCAGCAACTGCTAGAAAAAATGTTAATGTTAGATCCAAACAAGTGGTTAATGAGGATCAACATGTCACCAAAAATATTGAGATGGATGCTCAAGTAAGTAATGAACAACAGGTTCTCAAATCTGAATCAAATCCACCACATCCTGTCCATTATCCTATTTCACCTTCGCCACCAATGTCACCGCTATCTCCAACATCACCAACCTCATATTTCTGGCCACCACCATCACCACCACCTCCTCCTCCTCCACCTCCACCACCCCTACGAGCACATTCATCAATATCAACTAAAAAGAAGCATGAGAGTAATCAAAACAATTCAATAAAAAAGAAACCCAAAGCAAAGGTTAAAAAGCAAATGCCATCACCAGCATTTCTACCACAACCATTGTCACCACCCTCACCATTGTCACCAACCAATGACTTTTGGCCACCACCATCACCGCCTCCGCCCCCGCCTCCGCCACCCTCACGAACTGCAATTCGAAGGCAGCAATTGTCACCAACCAATGACTTTTGGCCACCACCTTCACCGCCTCCGCCCCCACCTCCACCACCCTCACGAACTGCAATTCCACAGCAGCAATTGTCACCAACCAATGACTTTTGGCCACCACCTTCACCGCCACCACCCCCACCTCCACCACCCTCACGAACCACATACCGACGGCAACCAATGTCACCACCCTCGCCAATATCACCAAACAATTACTTCTGGCCACCTCCATCACCGCCACCGCCGCCACCTCCACCTCCACCACTCCCACGGACTTATTCAACAATTTCAGCTATAAAGAAGCATGAAAATAGGAGGAACAGCCAAGCAAATAGGAGACATATATCAAAGGTTCAAATTCTAGAACAACCACCTCCACCCCCACCCCCACCACCGCCACCACTGAGACCAATAATAGGCCAATTCTCTGAAGATATAATAAGAGATAAAAAGAAAGGGATTGTGATTAGGACCCTCAATCGCCTTCCAAGAAGGAAAAGGAAGCAGGCAAGGAGAAGTTATGAGAACCTAACAGAAATCATCCAACCTCCAAAGACATCAATTCATCGTTCAAAGTCCACTCCTGAATTCCCCCCACCATCTCCTCCACCACCCCCACCTCCACCGCCTCCATCACATCCTTCCATGTTCCATAATATTTTCTCTAAAAAAGGAAAGACAAAGAGGCAAATATATTCCACTTCAGTCCCTCCTCCTGCACCACCACCACCACCTGCTAGACCACTGCAACAACAATATCAGAGCCTTGATTCTGCTAGACCATTGCCTAAGACTAGAACTACACCATCAACAACCAGAAGAACAGTCCCGCCAGCTAAAACAGATAGCTTCAGCAGCATAGATAAAGACATTGGTAATGGCAGTGAGTCACCACTGATCCCAATACCGCCACCTCCTCCTCCGCCGCCATTTAAGATGTCAGCATGGAGATTTGTCACACAAGGGGGTTATGTTAAGATAGAGAGCAACAATAACAGTCCGCGCAGTGGTTATTCAGCATCAGAAGATGATGACAGTTCCCCAAGCAATAAACAAACTAGCAATGTGTTTTGTCCAAGTCCAGATGTAGATACAAAAGCTGATGATTTTATTGCTAGATTCAGAGCCAAATTGACACTTGACAAGATGAATTCAATCAAGCGAAATCACGGGACTGGTCCTTCACCACTGGGATCAGATTCAGGCCGATCCTGATCCCAGGGCTACCCATAATCCAAATGAAGTTAGTATTTGTTTATTTATTTTCAAAACAAGGGTTTTTGTTTTTTTATTTGTTTCTTTTTACTATTATTTTCTTAGTTAAATACTTAAATTATACCTTCATTTATTCTTTGGGATGAGATTTTTTTATTTGTTTAAGGCTGATACGAGAAGTGTAGATGATGTTAATAGACATGATACAATAATACCCTGCATACCTGTAGGTGGAATGTACACAGAGATATTGAACCTTTTTTTGGTCCTCAAATTCTAATAGAATTAGTTTTGTTTTGTTTTGTTATTGGGCATATTATGATCTGGTTTTACTTTATTTAGTAATCAAAGGTTATACATTAATTCTTGTATAAGATGATTCGGTTATGGATATTTTTATTTGTATTAATATCTGTTGTTAGTTCTGTAATGGCACACAATCCTCGATAAAGGAAGAATTGGTGCGTTTTGAGAGAGAGCATGTGACAACTTCACAAGAAGAATTCTTTATGGATATTTTCTACTTTAGTACGGAGAATTCATCATATCCCTAACTCATCTACCTGGCTACGGATATTTAATTTTCCGATTTCAATCATCCGGCATTGATTAGAAAATAAAACATTACCTAACCAACCTTGACAATGCAATACTTTCCCACAATTGATGACAGCCACAAACTAAATTTATGATTGAATTAACTTCAACATCTAACCCCAAGCAATGCCAGCTGGATATGATAAAAACCTCTTATTTATGCATGATGATTATATAGCAAAGTCATTATCATACTGCGTAATTCACTAAGCTAACAGTTCATCATGCATAAAACTTCTCAGAGCAAAAATTGTCTTTTAGGAGTTTATATGTTACCTTGAGTGCCTCTGCAAGCAATACTTCAAATAGCCTTCAATAGAATAGTTCTTGCTTATTAATTTATGTTTCTGCCTCAATTGCTTAAAAACTAACTTGTTCAATGCTTTGCTTTCAAAGTCATAGCAATTGAGGACTTTGACCATCTTGTGAAGAATGATTCCACTTATCTGTAATACATGGGTTACCTAGCAAATCAGTAATAGAAAATCAGATATTCAGATAGTTAAATCACTTAAATGAACCCATAATTCAAGAGATTGTAATGGTGAAATATTCATAGTTAAATGAAATTGAAAATGCTTAGGGCGGTTACATAACTCCAGATCAGGTAAAACTTCACAAATTATCCAGAAATATGTACCATAATTTCATATATGACCTGAACTCAGCTCCAATTATTCGGTCTGAAATATCAGAAGAGTGAACTTCAAATGTTTGACAAACTCAAACAAATTGCAGTCCCAAATCATAATAATGCTCACAAATTTTACTTAGGCATGTTATCGTATTTGTGTAAATTGGCAACACCATTTTAAACCAAAATCTGCATACATCCGCAAATATTTGCTAGATTCTTCATTTAATATTTGGATAAGGACATTCCTTGCCAAGTAGTTGACTTTAGGATACAAATAAATTGACCAAAAATGGAAGAAGGGTGACTGCAATGAAAACTTGCTAATTGAAACACATTATATACTTGTACATTTGACTAAAATGCTTCCAATGATGAGAGTTATTTCTGGAATGAGTCCACAGTTGCAGAAATTTGACATATAACGTTAAAAAAAAAAAAAAAAAAAAAAAAAAAAAAAAAAAAAAAAAAAAAGATATAGTGGACTTGTTATATTTACAGAGCAAGATACCAAAAGGTCGGTGGAGGAGCCCACTGGCAGCATGGCTCCCAGATGGACATCCTCATTTACCACTGATAGAAAACCTTCACACTTCACTGATACATGATCATAAAATAAGGAAAGATTATCTGTTTGTGAGAATGAAGTGACAGTGGAAGCTAGGATGGGACTTTTAAGCCTTTCAAGTTCCATGTTCCAGCCACTTGCAGCTCATATTATAATTAGCTTATAAGCCCACAATAATTCGGGTTTCCGAGTAAAACTGGTCATTAGAATATTTTTCTAATCAGAATATTCTTCTAATCAAACAATTTACTCAAAACATAACGAAGTTTCTCATGTACTTAGTACAAGGTACGAAATTTCACTTTAAGGTAGAACTAAAATGTTCTTACCCCCCCCCCCTCTTTTTCCCTCTTTCCTCATGGGTCATCCTTGGTACAATGTTTGTGTAGCTTACGAAAAAAAATCCCAATAAACTTATGGGACCTAGACGTCCTTTCAGTAACTATATACAACAATTATACTATGCCTCCATCAGTTCATAGTAGCTACTGAATGCTAATCATGTCAAGAATTCAACTATTCACTCACCATCCATAACAAATAAGTCAATAGTATGCTAGTTCAGGTAAGCCAATGGCCACTACCTGATTTCCATGCTCTACATTAGTATCTACATAACATAGAGTCATTATAGAAGTTATAAACATTGTCTGAAGAGGAAAACTCACAAGAACCGCCTTCAATTAATACAGAAGTAACCAATAAGGTCTTGACCTAGTGGCAAAGACAAAGGACCTATGTATGATAAGTCAATCTGTCAATACCCTTGTGGGCCGTTATGGCTCATTCAGACTAAACAAATATGGAAGGAAAGATGTTATGTGTGAGCAGAATCTTACCTTCAAGTATATCCATGAACTCCACGGTCTTCTAAGCTCATCTCCAGGACAATAGTGCTACCAACAATAGATGAAATTTTGCTCATGTAACCTAAATAGCCAACAAGATGGTTGAGGTAACAGCAAAAATATCATAATCAGTAAAAAGTACCAGATCATTGGAAATCTAGAAGATCAAAAAGCTATATCTCGACAAAAAGTTGTCCAGGCTTGATCTCCCACTCTCCCAGGCCAGACCAAGGTCAGTAGATGATACAATTTTAACCATAAAATGCCAACAGTTGAATTGGACTTGATCATAATTTTCCAAAAAAAAAAAAAAAGGTCATACGGTGAATCAGCAAGACAATCAAAGAAAACATGTAAGATATGCTCATTCTTTGATTAAAGTATATTTTATCACTTAAAAACTTCAATCCTTGGTGTATAACAATTATCCATATCAATATATCATTGCAAATTTTTCAAAATGCAACATATCCCACATTGCTTCAAGACTTTACTCACTCCTACTAATAATTGTAATTTGAAACAGCTCTCCCCAGATTTTGCCGAGTGTTTACAAACTTTCATGACTCACTAATTCCGAAACAGACAAATCAGCTATCAAATCAACAAAAAGTCTTTATTGAAAGCTATAATTATATTCAACAGCAAAAAGTTTTTGCATCAATTGAAAGATTCTAAGTCAACAAAATTTTACATTCCCCTTGTACTCAAAACCTGATCAATCTAATTCTTTCTAGTGTTACATCTCAGGTTTGATAGACTTAAGCACAGAAACAGGTCAGTGCTGTAAGAGCTTATTTGTCAAGCATAAAGGACCCAGAGAAAGTAATAAGTGAAATTAAACTTTCACTAGCATCTGCAAGACTTGATAGCTTCTATTATAATTTGGGACAGTTAATTAGAATAAGAGATTAATTACACTTATTTATTTAGCGCTTAAAGTTTCTAAACAGAACAAGCCTATGGTTTGCTAGTTAGAAGCGATAGCATATAGATCATCGGGAGGTACCTACAACATAATGACTATTAGTCTTGGCCTTATGTTCATTCCGATATCCCGATCTAGACTAGGAGTAGTAATGCAAAGCAATCATTTAATTCCTAAAAGAGTCAAAAACCTAAAGACAAGGCTCGGGAAAGCTTTCCTGACACTTATTCCTGACATACTGTGGCTTGGTATATAAATACTCTAAGCTAACATCTATATGGAAACAGATTTGGATACTAGAAACAAGGTATCACTCAATTCCACCAAGGAACAAATTCCCTTACTATAATAGACAGAGATATAGACAATATAACATACTAGAACTCCAAAATCTATATAAAATTATAAATGACAAATCACTCTCAAACAAATATATTTTAGTCAAGTGACACGAGTCATATTACAAGAGGGAGCAGAACTGAGATACAACTGCCCCTGATTAAAGCTGTGTTATCACTATTATATTTGCAGTCTACCATACTTTAGTTACTAATATGAAGCACTTTAGGTTACTTCTTACACATGTAACAACATAAATCATTTCTTAAGAGCAACTTCACCCACGATCAATTGGTTTTCAAATGAACTCCATTATGGGCATTATTGATCTTAGGTTCCCTCGTTTATTTTCTTATTAATAATTGGTTGTCCTATGCTTGGTTCTACCTCGTACTTGAAATAGCTATATTTCGACTAAGGGGTAAAAAAAAAAAAAAAAAAAGCTGCTGTCTAACAACATTTAAGCAAGATTTCATCCCTGATAAGAACATAAATTACACACAACACTAAGCACCATAATATAAAATAACATCGGAAAATCTACAAGCAGTATTTTACAACCAATGGTCAATCGTCATCAACATTCCAACATTAATTCTATACAATAGTATTAGTTAATATTCGAGATTGATCAAAAGCGCTAAATTTTGCTAATACATTATTTGAAAATGCATTCTAATACCAAAATAAACAACCTTATCCGCTAATTATCAACAAAAGATGACATAAATATAATCATTCAAAGCCGTTAACAACACCAAGCTCACCATTAATTAAAGCAATACAATTATGTCATCATCACCGTCCATCAATAATACATCACAATATCACATCCCCTTCCCACAAAAATATAATACGATTAGATTACATTTAAACAATTCCAATTATGACTTATGATTATCAGCAATGTAAAAACAATAGATTATAGTAGAATTCAGCAGTTCTTTCACAGGGGAATTTTATCAAACACTTAGTGGGCAATACTATATTTTATCTCAAAATTCACAAAGACTACAAATTTATTAAGCTAAATTAGTATAACACCTAACACATTATAATATAATTAATAGTCATACAAAAAAAAAAAAAAAGTAAATTCCTTTTTAAAAAAATGTAAAGATGAAAGAATAAAATTATGTTATACCTTGTTGTTGAGGTAGACAATGAAGTGAAACAATTCTGATATTTGGAAAATAAGAGAGAGTTGAGCATGACTACCGAAATTTCCGGGTTACTGATTTTAACAATGGCAAAGAAAGTCTGAAAGTGCATGCAACAATGAACAATCTTATGAGTTTGCACATCTAAGTTATTTGAGGGCTTTCACTTATTTAGGGGGGCGTTTGGAATCAGGAATAGAGTTAATGTGATATCGGGTTGGAACTTGATAATTAATACCATGTGTTTGGTTCAGTTCCGGAATGAAATACCATCATCGGGAATGGAATGAGTCAAACCCACCTTCCACCCAAGGTTTCTAAACCCCATACCTCATGGGTTTGAGGTATGGGTTTAAAAATCATATTTTTGACAACCAAACATATGGTATGGGTTTTGGTCATTCTAAATCCATACCAAATACCTATAATCCGCGAACCAAACGCCCCGTTAAAGGTTTTGCTTTGCTTCCTCTGTTTTATTTTAGTGCCTCGACTCCCCGAGTTAACTAGAGTTGTATACATATTAAATGCGATGAGCCGATGATTAAGGGTTCAATGGGCATCGCTGTGTTTTCTGTTTTTTGATTTTATTTTTTTTTAAATCATATGATATATGTTATAAAATGAATTAAAAATTAGTCGAACTTATTATAATATAATTTTGAAAACTGACAATAGAATAGTAGAAACACTTTTTTCTTGTTTTCTATTTTTGGTTTTTTATAAAAAAAAAATAAATAAAAATAAAAAAATATGAAAACTGAAAACAAAAAATGATATCAAACAAGCCCTAAGTTAATGGGATTTTCTTGGAATTGATTACCACTCCGTCCTTGTGGCTCTCTAAACAACAACAAAAAAAAAAAAAAAAAAAAAAGGTAACCGAGAGAGTTTTAGTGGACTCTAATAGCTTTATTTGTCTTTTTCTTAAGTTTTTCATTACTATTTATCAACAAAAAAGCTTTAGAGGAAAAAATAAAAACGTAAAGAAAAAAGACTATATAATAGTGCAAAAAGTCAAAACACAATTAGATAACTTATGATAAGTTATATATATATATATATATATATATATATATATATATATATATATATATATATATATATATATATATATATATATATATATAGTGCAAAAGACTTTATCATAACTTAGATAGGCCATGTATTAGTCATTTCTACAATTTAATTAGGAGTATGATCGACTTAATCTGAAATTTTCTTCTTTGTTATGCGGGTGAATGGGATTGTTTGGCAATTGAATGTTGGAGTTATTAGGTGATTTATTTGGTTTGTTTAGCATGTTGAAAGTATTAGATGGATGGATTGACTTTTTAAGATGACTATTTAAGCCACCAATTCATAAAAGTGTTTGAAACAAATTAGAGGAGCTTGTTAGCTATTTATTAGTGAAAAAATTGGGCCAACGAGCTAAAAAAAAAAACTACTCATATTGACTTTTAGCATTTGGTTTAAAAGTCAACAACCAACGCATATTTTTTGGCTGTTTGACCAAACTAAAAAGCCAAAAAGTCAAACAAAAAGCTAATTACCAAAAGATCCCCTTGTGCAAACGTACAAATTCTTCAATTTGTTATATGTGGTGTGAAATATTTAAAAGTATAGCAAAACGCAAAATATTCCTAATTAAGAAGTTGTTAAATCAACTAATATTACTTTTATTTGGTAATTGTCTATGTATCACTATATAACACATTCCTACCTTATTATTTCTTTATTAATTTCCACCTCCATCTTTCCTTAAAGGTCTTGTTCCCCTTTGTTGCGAGAATGCTATATATATTACTTGTAATTACATGTGAGGATGTTTTAGCCATTCTCCCTTCTCAATCGCCTTTTACTTGTAGGTTTTCGAATAAAAATAATCTTACTATTTTCAGTAAGTGTATTAATTTATTTAGTATGTTTGTGTTGTTAATTTTCAATATCTACATTGTTTGAGTGTAGTGAGTATATGGAATTAGTTTAAGTTTAGCTATGCGGGTTCAGCCCAATACTAGGGTGGTATCATAGAGTAGGCCTTGTTAATAAAGTGTGTTGTATGATTGTATTCCGATTATCAAAATTCTAATTACAATCCCATGAATTAGATAGAAATCAACATTGCATTAAGCAACAAAATGAAGAAACGTCTCTTTTTACCAAATAATAATAATTAAAAAAAAAAACGTCTCTTTGAAAGTGCGAAAGTTATCCCTTAATGCAAAATTTATCATAATCGTAATTTTGGTGAAAAATACCTTACTAAATTCATTTTGTTATGTACTTATTTGTAAAATTCAAATTCCATTCTTTGTCTTCTAAAAGTTTAATTAATGATTTACTAATAATTTCTATAGATGTATCCAAATAGGATTTACTAATACTTTTTTATTATCATACTTTTACTATGATACTCATAATAAAATTAAATCTATGTTTCTCGATAGAAGTTTTCATATTTTTACTATCATATCAAAAATAAATCCATATAAATGTATCTCGATAGGATTTTTTTTAATAATTTCACCTAATTTTAACAATATCTACCCTTTTTCCGTCAAAAAAAAAAAACAATATCTACCCTTCCTAAATAAATGTCTACACAATTACAATTTTACCCTTTTAATTTTATTTTCAAACTATTGTGGCACTCTTTTCTATTGACCGTTAGTTCACTTTTGCCCCAACCCTTTTCAAAGGATTTGAAAGACAAACAAGGCTAATTCCGTCATTTCATCCAAAACAAAAACTCCCCAAACAATTTATTTTCAAAAAATAATAATTATAAAATTAATTAGTAATTAATCACATTAATCTTGCTCTAATCTCGATTTTGTCTCTACTTTGCCCCTCTTAGTTCACCCAGATTCTTAGGAGAGAGAAAATCAGACTGCAAAACACACACACACCCTGGGTAGAGCCGTAGAGAAAGATAAATTAAAATAAAAAGGAATTTATTTATTTATTTAATTTAAAATTGTTTTCAAATACTTTTACTAGAAGTATTATTCTCAATTTTCAAGCATAATCACGAAAATTTAATTTCTTTCTTGTAATTCGAGTTTTTCCTGCAAAAAACTTGAAATTTAAGCTTCTGGGTGTTCTTATTCTGGGCTGATCTACGAGCTCGTTTACTCAATTTCAGTTGAGCTAGTTGAATTAGTTGGTGGGTCCTTCAAATGAGGTGAAGATTGGGGGAGAAACACAATCGTATTTCTTGCTCAACGCAAATGGTAATTTCTAAGCCCCTTTATTTATTTTTATTAATTTAAGAAAATTTGGGAAATTTTAGGGATGAAATGATAGTTTTTGTAGGTTATTGAGCTCATTTGATTGATTTGGTTGTTGGGTTTAATAGTAAATAAATTATTATAGGGTATGAGGGTATGATTGTGTTTGTTGTTTATATAAAATTTTATTTGAATTTGTGTGTGTATTTTTTGAAACTTGTGCTTTGTTTAGCTTTTATGTTGAAGTTTGAGTTTTTTTGCTTTGTGTTGGATTGAAATGCATATGTATAACTGTATATTAGCTACTAGGGGAAGTGGAATTTGTTTGTTGTTTCGATATCCGAGTTAGCGTTTATGTTGAAGTTTGAAAATTTTGCTTTGTGCTGAATTGAAATGCGTATGTATAACTGTATATTAGGTAGTACACGGGGAAGTGGAATTTATTTGTTGTTTCGATATCCGAGGGCGGTCATTGCCTTGGTGTTTTGCAGAGAAACAGAAATGAAAATGGTGTCTTTCTTTGGTATAATCTTTTCATGTAGCAATATGTATGAGCTTGCAATGTTATGTTATGGTCGGAATGCGGGGTTATTACTGTTTTCTTGTTAGTTTCTTTTATAATCTCCAATTTGTATATGGTAACTTCAAGAATGGAGAGAAATTGTTGGGATTTGGCACATCTTTTAGGTAAATGTTCAGTTAGGAAAAAGCTGAATCATTTATTATAACTGCAATGATAGATACGGAGTTTTAATTGCGCTTGTTAGTACGGTGGTGGTATGCTTTGAGCAGAATGTTTGTTAAATGAGTTTCGGTGTGTGCTGATTCATGACCTTGTATAGTTGTATCAGGCATAGATATTAAAAGGATTGCTCTTTGCTATACCCTAGTTCCTGGCGTATATTTTTTCTAAACCATTAAATAGGGAGCTACAAGTATTTTTACTTTGCTCTTATCTAGTTCATACTCTCTAGTGGGGAATGTGGTGCAATAGTAACTGGCATCATATGAAGATGAGCTTCTTGATTTTGGACACGGAGACCTATGTTGTTGCGGGAATCCTTATAGTTGTTTATGATGTTTTATGAGTTTCATAGTGTAATTGTTTCACAAATTGTTTGATGAAAGTATTCCGCGTTTTAGCTGTTCGGTCCAAGAATGACAGTGTGCTGCTTTCTTGTTGCAGGCTTCATCTGTGAATATAATAATCGGCTCACTTGTATGGGTGGAAGATCCTAAGTTAGCGTGGATAGATGGAGAAGTTACTCGAATCAACGGTGATGAGGTTCATGTTCGTACTACAAATGGAAAAACAGTAAGTTCTTTAACATGGAGTTATGTGCATATATCTTTTAAGAACTTGTCATTATACCATAGGTGGGTTAACGCAAAACTATGTATAACAATTGCTATGCAGAAGTGCACAGTCTTCCAGGAAAAAAAAAATTCTTGACATCCCTGTCACGTAAGAACTTTATTTGGTCCCTTAGTCAAAACTTTCTACAGTTTCTTATGAATAACATCAAATTAAATTTTTGAAAAGTATCATTCAAGGAAAGTTTTGGGCTTCAAATGCATATGTTTTCTTAGCTTGCATTATGTTCAATCATAGGAAGTCCTCACACCAGGGAAATTGAACCGACAAACTTCATCTTTGGATCTACTTAAACTTCTTTTGTAATATTTTAGCTAGAATGCTCCTCGGATGTGAGTTAGAAAACCAAATAGCATGTTCGTGCTAGCCTGCTTGGTTATAAACTTATAATTTCATCTATTTATCTATTTATGAATTATATAAGCTTCCATGTGGAGCTTTGTTAGTTACAAAACATGGGCTGCTCATACAAGGATATTATGATTATGTCTCCCCGGAAAACTTCCTGCCTTAGTATTAGTTGGTATTGATCTCTGTTTGCAAACCCAAAATGCTAGCTTATCATATTCGAGATGCTATGTGAGTTGTGAATAGGTTTGATTTGGAAATATAATGCAACTTTCATTATTTGCCTTTTGTATTACAGTTGTCTGCTCTAAAACTGAAAAATATTTCTGCCAAATTTTGACTTCTGCTCCCTTTTGCTTTAGGTTGTCACTAAGATTTCTAAGGTGTTTCCGAAGGATACTGAAGCTCCACCTGCAGGAGTTGATGACATGACAAGACTTTCTTATCTACATGAACCTGGTGTCTTACAAAACTTGGCTACTAGATATGAATTAAATGAAATATATGTAAGTATAGAAAGTTAGTTCTTTTCATGTATGGTTTTTATTAGATAAAAATCATCTGCACAATGGCAAAGTGGAGAAGAGAGAACTATTAAAGGAATACTAATGGATAATGTTTTCCAGACATATACTGGCAATATCCTTATAGCTGTGAATCCCTTTCAAAGACTACCACATTTGTATGATACACACATGATGCAACAATATAAAGGGGCAAGTCTAGGGGAGTTGAGTCCTCATGTTTTTGCAATTGGTGATGTTGCATACAGGTTGATTTTTCTTCCCCTTGCAGTTGCTTAAGTTTTTTGTATTTTTTCTATTTGTGATATACACATGATGCAACAAATGTTTCTAGCTTTTATACTTTAATTCTAACAACGCTGGTCATCAATGAGAAAATAGGGCGATGATTAATGAGGGAAGGAGCAATTCTATTCTTGTTAGTGGAGAGAGTGGTGCCGGTAAAACAGAAACAACAAAGATGCTTATGAGATATCTGGCTTACTTGGGTGGTCGATCTGGGGTGGAGGGAAGAACTGTTGAGCAACAAGTTCTTGAGGTAAATGAATTAATATCTGCCTGTACTATCTCTTTCCAGCTATTATTCTGCATATACTTTTTCTGTTTTTATCTAACATCAACATTGATGCTTTTGCATGGTGTTTGGAATGCAGTCAAACCCAGTACTAGAAGCATTTGGTAATGCAAAAACGGTCAGGAACAATAATTCCAGGTGTGATTTATATATGGAAAGTAGAATTTTGATTTGCTCTTTATTATTAATTATCATGGCTGCCTTAATATTCCACAAATTATTATTTCTAATTTCTTATTTTGTTTGTTCACTTTATCCACGGTACTGTAGTCGATTTGGTAAATTTGTTGAAATCCAGTTTGACAAGAGTGGAAGGATATCTGGTGCGGCTATCAGAACTTATCTTCTCGAAAGATCACGCGTCTGCCAGATTTCAGACCCTGAGAGGAATTATCATTGCTTTTATCTTCTTTGTTCTGCTCCAACTGAGGTAATTTTGCTGTTCTATGATACGGGATTATCTTATTTCCATATCTGCCACATCTGTATTCATGAGCTGATGCATTGTGTTTCAGGAGATTGAGAAATACAAGTTGGGGAACCCAAAATCATTTCACTACTTAAATCAATCAAGTTGTTATGAGCTGGAAGGAGTAAATGATGCTCATGAGTATCTAGCACTCAGGAGAGCTATGGATATAGTTGGAATCAATGAGGAGGAACAGGTCAGTGTTTTCCGTTGCAAGCTTTTTACTACAGGGAAATGAAATTTCTTATACTAAAACTAAACAATTTTTTCCAGGAAGCTATCTTTAGGGTTGTGGCTGCAGTTCTTCATCTTGGTAATATTAATTTTGTTAAGGGAGATGATATTGATTCCTCTGCTATCAAGGATGAGAAGTCTAGGTTTCACCTCAATATGACTGCAGAACTCCTTAGGTATATATATATTATTGTCTTCTTTGTTTTGTAAATAGTGAAACCTGCTAATATTCTGGGTTGTTGGTAGGTGTGATGCCCAGAGCCTTGAAGATGCATTAATAAAGCGTGTCATGGTGACACCTGAAGAAGTGATTACAAGGACTCTTGATCCTGTTAATGCTCTGGCTAGCAGGGATGCATTGGCTAAGACAATATACTCTCGTTTGTTTGATTGGTATCAAGCCACCCTCACTAAAATATTCTTTTCCGCTCAGGTTACGGTTTTGTCAAATCTATACTTTTCTTTTATGATACAGGATAGTGGAGAAAATCAACGTTTCAATTGGACAGGATCCACATTCAAAATCAATTATTGGGGTTCTTGATATCTATGGTTTTGAAAGTTTCAAGTTCAACAGGTGAATTTTGCCCCCTCCCCCCCTTCCCCTCTCTTTTTTTCTAATAAAATATGTGGTAGCAGATGTATCTCAAAATTATGGCACATCTACACTGGGAAAGGAACTATCAATCAAAATTGATGCACACTTTTCCATTCAATGGTGATACTAAGGAATAATGAGCGCACCCCAGTTAATATGCCATATTAACGTCCCTCGTTATTATGATGGCATTTTCGTTATTATTGAAACATCTTTCAATATTTTAATGTTTTTTGGTTTGTTGCTGACATGACACTTAACTATAGCTTGGTTAACGGTGAATTTGAATCCCGTTTTATCTTTTCCATATGAGTCTTCATCTCCTCAAGCTTTCATGAACAGATTTCATCCTCCATTAAAGATGCTCAACCTTTCATCCTCCATTGAAGATGCTCAACCATATCCAATGCCACCAACGAAAACCCTAAAAACAAGGGGTGAAACAAAGGGTATGGTTAACCCTAAAGTGTAGGGATTTATAGTCATCTTTAATATCTCCATTGTAGCTGACCATTGTTTGCCTCCACGATAATTACCAACTGCTCAGAAGTCGTAAAAGCAGCCAATTTTCCTCCTGGAAATCGAATTGCATGCTGCGAATTGGCGAATTACTTATGGAATGGGATGAAGAATGCAGATAATTATTACATACAAGACAAGTACACTTACCCCATATCGTAATTTTGCCGGCGAATTGGAGGATTACTTGCCGAATTCCGCCAATTGCAGGTGCTGCGAATTGGACGATTACTCGAGAATTGCAAGTTTTTCAACAGAACGGAGGACATACTTTACAGAAAAGGGGCAACAGTGGAAGAACGGAGTTCTGCAGTACGGCGTCTTAGAAACGGAGTTCATAAATGGGGTTAACAAAATTACGAATCTACCCTTCATTTACTAAACGAAATTACGCTGATGCCCCCATATAAACGGGTGGTGTTAATATGACATATTAACAGAGATTTTCTCAGGAATAATTTTGTTGTTGTTTTACCCATTTCTTGATGAATGTGGTGATAATTTTAAAGGATTGTTAAGGATTTAGGGGAAAGCTGTTTCTTCTATACTTGTTTGAATACTGAGCAATGTGATCTTAGGGGATGCCTTTTCTTGTAGAAGCCCAACTTCCACTTTCGACCTTTTTAGGCTCAATATTAGATAAAGCCTTAGAGCTTGCCAAGTGTGAGATAGAGCTCAAGCTTGGTTTGGGTCTTTTAATACTAGGCGCAAAGGTTGGCTCATGCTATACATTGCTCCTATGTACTCCCTTCATTTAGAAATAGCTACAGCATTTTGACTTTCATGTTTGTCATTGAACAATTTTGACCACTATTATTTATTATTATCTACAAATTTTAAAAAATGATTTTGAAAATAATATTGAGAGTAACCTAATTTTTAATATTTTTTTATATGCAACAATTTATATATATATTTTTTATACTTCCTCTGTATCTTTTTACTTGCAACGCTTTAACTTATGCACTATTTACGTGCGCTATTGCCCTTTAACTAGCTTTTTTTTTTTTTTTTTTTCATGAAAACATATAGTCATGTGAGATCTTGTCAGATACACCCCAATTTATGATTTCATAATATCAAAATTTTATATTTTTACTAATTGATAATGTAAGATATTAGTGATTGATGACATGATACATTGTCAAGCGTGACATGACAATTGTTGCATGTAAAAAGAAACATAGGAAGTATTAGTTAAAAGATGGGGTCAAATTTAACATATTAATAGTGTAAAAACCCAAAATGGTGCAACTATTTCTAACTAGAGGTAGTATATATTTAATTGTGTGCTTATACAAAGATTGAGATTAAGCTTTGCTGCACTCTATCGGACTTGGTTCAAGACTAGCTTAAGGCAAACTAGCTTAAGGCCTCAAGCTGTGCTTTGTTCTTTTAAACTTTGGGTTCGCTATGCCAGATCTGTTTGGTTACATTTATAGCGTTATAGCTCTAGTTAAGACTTGATTATACTTATTGTGACTTTTGTGTGAGGCTAGGAAAGGGCCAGAACTAGCAGAACTATAGAAAAACTTCCTATCCTCTTTGTAGGTTGCTGTTTCCTTGCTCATTAATAGGCTTATAGCTCTAGTTGAAACTTGGTTGTACTTGTTGTGAGAGGTTATGAAAGGGAAGTCAGAGCTATGGGAAAACTTCTTATCCTCTTTGTATGTAATTGTTTCCTTGGCTCCTTGCTCATCAATCTTTATTTTATTTATTTAAATTTTTTTTTTATGTGAAACAGTTTTGAGCAATTTTGCATCAATTTTACAAATGAGAAACTGCAGCAGCATTTCAACCAGGTTAGTCTTCCCTTTTTGTCATTGTGTTGGAATATGGATCGAAAATGAGCAATTTACTCATAAATACACATTTGCAGCATGTCTTCAAGATGGAGCAAGAAGAATACTCCAAAGAAGAGATTGATTGGAGCTACATAGAATTTGTTGATAACCAGGATGTTTTGGATCTAATTGAGAAGGTGTGTTATGGTTGTTCCTTAAATTGGTGACAACATCTTTCTGCTTTTATATACAATTTGTAAACTTTTTTTTTTTCTTTAAAATTTAGAGTATCATGTATGTCAACTTGTATTTGATTATTTAGATTATATAACTTACTTATCCTATACAGAAACCTGGAGGAATCATTTCCCTGCTTGATGAAGCCTGGTATGAAAGGATAACCATCTCTGTTGTTTGTTCTAAATCATGTAATCCGAGTACATGAAAAAAAAAATTCACTTTTCCTTTTGTGCATCTCCGATAATGTGTGATCCTCAACAGAAGAAGATAATGATATTATTGTTTGCAGCATGTTCCCTAAGTCTACACATGAAACTTTTGCTCAGAAGTTGTACCAGACCTTTCAGAAAAACAAACGCTTTACAAAACCAAAACTTTCTCGCACAGATTTTATTATATCTCACTATGCTGGGGAGGTATGTTCTCTTGGCTTGTGACATCCTTTTGGTGCGTCATTCTTGTTGCAACAAACTCAGTGTCTGGAATGTCCTGCTGTTTTCTCAGGTTACTTACCAAGCTGATCAGTTTCTAGATAAAAATAAAGATTACGTAGTTGCAGAACATCAAGTTTTGCTGACTGCCTCAAAATGTGATTTCGTTGCTGCACTGTTTCCTCCACTGCCAGAGGATTCATCAAAGTCATCCAAGTTTTCTTCAATTGGATCAAGATTCAAGGTCTGCATTTCTTCTTGTGTGTGTGTGTGTGTGTGATCTAAAGCATAATTTCAATGTGCGTTTTGTGGCCCCGTTTTCCCCATCAGCAAAGAGTAATCATGCCAGTAGGGATCATAGAAGATTCTTGCCTTTCATAGTGTTTTATACTTAATATTTTGGCGATGAAACTTTAGTGTTCTTATGGAAACATGATTTTACACTGTTTGTGTTTTATTTATTTATTTTATTTTGTTTGTGTGTGTGTGTGTGTAGCTGATAGACATAATATGACAGCTCTGCTGCGACTGATACTTTGCATAGAATATGATCAGAAATGTCCACAACAGTTAGCATTAAACTGTTTTATTGAGACTAAAATGATTGATTTTCTTAGTCAACTGATTTCCATAGTTAAGGTCTTATGCTGTTAGTTTGTATGTTTGTAACAGTGGTACTACACTACTACTAAGTACTTGTATTTGATGCTATCTTCTATGTGTAATCTCTTATTATATGATATGTCAATTTGTTCTCTGCAGCTTCTTCTTCTTCTTCTTCTTCAAAAAAAGTTCTCTGCAGTTATATTGTCTTTAGTCTGAAACATTGCGATTACTAGTTAACTCCATTGTATATTTTGCTTTCTTGATTTTTTATTGCAAAATTCCTGTTTATGGCCCACTTATAATATGATAGTGGCTATTGTAAGTTATTTATTTATTGATAAGTATGTTATGCATTGCAGCTGCAACTTCAATCTTTGATGGAGACATTGAGTGCAACTGAACCTCACTATATAAGGTGTGTGAAGCCAAATAATGCATTGAAGCCTGCCATTTTTGAGAACGTCAACGTTATCCAACAATTACGATGTGGTGTAAGTTTTGCTTTTTAGACTTTTAACTCTTTCGGAATGGAGAAAGGTTTTAATGATTTTTTTTTTTTAATTGCTTTTCATTTGATTATGATCACTTTTCCTTCATAAACTTAATTTTTGGACCCCCAAAATTTCAGGGTGTTCTTGAGGCAATCAGGATAAGCTGTGCAGGATATCCTACTAGAAAGACATTCTATGAGTTCCTTTTACGTTTTGGTGTCCTTGCACCAGAATCACTGGAAGGAAAGTAAGTCATCTCATATCCAAATAATCTCATTGTTTTTTGCTTTCTAACTGTCAACTATACATCTTGTTTTCGTATGCCTTTGCTGTTGATCAGTTTTCTTTTGGAAGTATGACATATCTTTGAAACTATTGCATAGTACTACGAATGAGTGTCATAAGGAAGTCCAATCTTCTATTCATAAGCAAAATTGTTTTTTTTTTTGTTGATTCTAATTCCCTCATTGCAGTTATGATGACAAGGTTGCATGTCAGATGATTCTTGATAAAAGGGGATTGCAAGGATACCAGGTATCATTGTAATCTTTGGTTATTTCTAGTAGTCTGACTTGTCTGAATTGGAACTGTTGTTGAGATTCTTGTTCATGAGATTATTTGAACTTTAATTCGGAGAAACCATAATTTGTGGGGTTAAGGTGTTCAAGCAGAAGAAGAAGAAACCATGGAAAGATCTGGTTGATTTGTTATTATACATGCACCTACACCTCTGCCTGTATTGTCTTTATGTAGTTGCTTCTTGTTTTTTACTTATGTTTTTAGTTTTGTTATTAATCATCTTTGTTATGTTTCTGACAGATAGGCAAGACAAAAGTTTTCTTAAGAGCAGGCCAGATGGCTGAATTGGATGCTAGAAGGGCTGAAGTACTTGGAAATGCAGCAAGGAAGATGCAGCGGAGGGTTCGCACTTATATTGCTCGCAAGGATTTTGTGGCTCTTCGGGATTCTGCTATTCAATTGCAGGCTTTATGTCGGTGTATGTTGCTTTGCTCTGGATTTGCTTGCTTTCTGCAAATTATTTGCTAGTTTACAGCTGAAGAAATATTTCTTTTTTGATGGGCCTGGTCTTTTGCTGGAAGCATCGAGAATTTATTAAAAAATTAATTTATCTTCATTTAAATCGATGCTTCCATAGATGTAAATATCCAGTGTCTTGTCTGTGGACCTTGTGAGTTGGTTGCATGTTTAAGAAAGACAAAGTTTGATATCTTTACAATGAGGGATTTCAATCTAAATCATACTTTATATCTCCCAAAAGCACTACATAATATCCTATAATCTGGAAAATGTTTTCGGTTTGCACTGTGATATCTTCTCAAGTTTTGCTCCTGATCTTGGAGTTCTAATATGCATGATGTCTTTTGCAGACAGTATGGCTTGTAAGCAGTATGAACAATTGCGGCGTGAGGCTGCAGCTCTACGAATTCAGACAAAGTTCCGGCAGCATGTGGCCAGAAAAGCTTATTTGGAATTACGGTTATCTGCTATCACCTTGCAGACAGGATTAAGAACAATGACTGCCTGCCTAGAATTTAGAATGAAGAAACAGACAAAAGCAGCCATCCATATCCAGGTACTTTCGATGTTTGGTGATTTTTGTTTAAAATTTTATTGCTGCATTCATGTCACGTGAGTAGTGGGTACATTCTCTTACAAATCAAATTACAGTATGAGACAAACCTGAATTTTTTCCCCGTAATTAGATAACCTTGATCCCTAATTTCAGGCCAAGTGGCGTTGCCACCATTCTTATGCTTATTACAAGAAATTATACAAGGCAGCTATTGCTACACAATGTGGATGGAGGTGCAGAGTTGCAAGAAAGGAGCTCAGAAAGCTCAAAATGGTTCAAAGATTGACCTTTTTTCTATGATTTACTCCTCAATGCTTTTTTATCTTGCATGTTTAACTATTGCTTTGAATTTGTTAGGCTGCAAAAGAAACAGGAGCCCTTAAAGAAGCCAAAGACAAGCTTGAAAAGCGTGTAGAGGAACTGACATGGCGGTTACAACTTGAGAAGCGTTTGCGGGTATTATTTTTGGAAGTTATCTTAATACTATATTTCCTGAGAATAGAATCTATTGGTTTAGTCTTATAAATCTATTGGATCACCACATTGCAGACTGACAATGAGGAGGCAAAAGCCCAAGAGACTATGAAGCTAAAAGAAGCGTTACATACCATGCAGCTACAGCTTGAAGAAGCTAAAGCGATGGTCATTAAAGAAAGAGAGGCTGCTAGGAAAGCAATTGCAGAAGCACCGCCTGTTATTAAAGAAACTCCTGTTATTATTCAGGACACTGAGAAGATTGATTCATTGACTGCTGAACTTGAAACGGTCAAGGTAAGGTTGCTAGAAAGCTACTCCTTTCAGAAGAAAATCCGTGCGTTTCTTGTGTATTACATCTATATTGCTTAAAGATTTTTATTGGTGACATTGGGAATTAGACTATACTGTATTTTTCTTGCTCTGACAATTTTTTGTTCTATGAGTCATGCTTTTATGTATACCATTTTTATCCAAGTAAAAGTTACATGACGACCACTTTGAAATTGATGTTTGGTTAAGCTCAGTCTTCTTGTGCTGAAATGTGAACATTATTGAGTAACCATGGAAAAAGAATAGCTCATTAATCCTTTCAGTTTACTTGTAAGATAGTGTTATCAATAATAATGCTGCTTACCTTTCTGGTGGGTGGATTATGAATGATGGTATATTGTATTGTCAAGCAATGATTCTATGATTTCAAGCATCAGCATGGGAGTTTGTCTAGGGCAACACATTTAATTTTTTTCCTTTTGGTCTTTATCCATTGTGAACTTGGAAGTTGGCTTATAGTCAAGCTTAAATTCACAGCTTATGCAACTTGAACCAACATTTGAGCTCTAATACCTGGCCAAGTTCAATAATCTAGATTCTAATTGTAGATACTCTTATCTTTTTGGAAGTGCAATAGTTCCTAAGGCTGTCATGATTGGGTGCAGGCTTTGCTGCAGTCGGAGAAACAGTCAAAGGAAGAGGTGAAGCAATCTTATGCAACGATGCTGACCAGAAATGAAGAACTAAATCAGAAGCTAGAGGAGGCAGTGAAAAAAGCAAATCAGTTCCAAGAATCAATGCAGAGGTTAGCAGTGAACTTCTCAAAGTAGTCTGGTTCTAATTCTTTATTGAACATTTGAACTGAGTAACCACTGTACATATCCCTTTATTGGATGGGTCTGAAAAGTCACTCTTAGTTTCCTAAATCTATATTCTAGGTCTATTAGTGCTCATTTGGTTTTACATTAAACCTGAATTTCTGAAGCCTCCATCTATGAATATTTTCCAAATATCAACAGCTTTAAAATTCCAATCATACCTTTGCTTTGTGTTGTCAGCAATTCAGCAAGCTTTGATATGCAACAGAATTGGACGGCTCTACCATTTTTAGTTTACTGATTTCTTCAAAATGTGTTATGTATTACCCAAGGGATGCCGTCTGCTTTGTGTATGATCTCATTGAGTATAATTCCTTTGCTGTATATAAAAAAAAGGGAGAAGGGGGGGGGGGTTCTTAGAGCATTGGATATGTGGCTTGTACAAAACAGCATATGTTTGTTCTTTAGTAGACCAGCAGAGTACACTTTCTGAAAGATTGGAAACGTGAACAACACAACATTGCCAGATAGGATGACCAATTTGGTGAAACTCAGACATGGTTGTAGATTTGAATATACAACATTGACTGTGCTTTCATATTGCATTATGAAATCCACTGAATTATGTGTCTTCTCGCATTCAGGCTTGAAGAAATGGTCTCAAATTTAGAATCTGAAAACCAAGTACTTCGCCAACAAGCAGTGGCCATATCTCCAACAGGAAAAGCTTTAGCTGCTCGGCCGAAGACAACAATTATACAGGTATTCTTGGCATTCACGTTTACTCTTTTGCATGTATCGTGTTAATGGCCTCTGTTGATCTAAATGCTTATTTATGGTTTCAGAGGACTCCAGAGAATGGGAATGTTGTCGATGGAGAATTTAGAAGAGTGTCGGTAAGATTACCACTAAATACTCCAGGCAGTACGCTTTCATGCCCGTTCCTGTCTCCTATTCTGATTCAATTGTTGAAAATTTAGGCACTTTCTCCGGTACCTTACACACCCGAGAGTGAAGCCAAGCCCCAGAAATTCCTCAGTGAGAAGCAACAGGTAATAAACATAAGATCAAGTATAAATTAATTTATTTATAGGTGTGATATGTTTTCTTTTAGTGTTCTGGAACTGAACATTCCCATGCTTGGACATTATTTTGTTTCCAGGAGAACCATGATCTTCTCATAAAGTGTATATCGCAAGATCTGGGGTTCTCTAAAGGCAGGCCTATTGCTGCATGTTTGATATACAAATCTCTTCTACAATGGCGATCATTTGAGGTTGAAAGAACAAATATATTTGATCGCATCATTCAAACGATATCTGCTGCTATTGAGGTGTGGTCTCACATTACATTTATTTGTCAGAAGATCTTTCCTATCCCCATTTTCCCTCTCTTTACTCTTTTGTGAAGGATATGTACTTCCTATACTGTGTAGAGTTTTTTGTGGAACAATTTCCCTTTGGGTCTTGACTCATGTGTACACTAAGGAATCTTGTGGAGAGTGTTGTAGTGGGGTTTATTTAGGATAACTAGTAGGACACACACACACACACACACACACTACAAATGATAGTTATATTTAATGTTCTGTAGCCACAGAAATTAAGGGGAGTAGGAGTGAGTGTTGTAAGTGGAGGTTTATTTAAAGTGAAAAAAAAAAACAAATAGTTTGCAGAAATAGAAAAAAAGGCAAATGTACCCAACTAAAAGGAACAGAGCTAGTATGTATAAGCAATATGTGCATTGTACACCTAAATGCCCCATTACTTTGCCACAAGCTGTGAGGTTTTAAGATATTGGGTGCATAGTATACATTAAGTTTTATAGAGATTACAAAATTACTACTTATTTTCTAAAAATGTAGAACACACGACTTCAATCCAATTATCCTGTTGTGATCTTGGTCACTGTAAAAAAAAATTGATTTGTATTGCTCCTTTCACTAATTTGCATTTTTTGAACTTCAACTCAACTAATTTTCTGAATCTTACTGACTGAAGACCCAGGATAACACTGATGTGCTGTCCTACTGGTTATCCAATTCAGCCACATTGCTATTGCTGCTTCAACGCACCTTAAAAGCAAGTGGAGCTGCTAGCCTAACTCCACATCGAAGGAGAGCTTCTTCAGCTTCTTTATTTGGTAGGGTGTCTCAGGTAAGCTGCTATTTTTTCTTCAATCATGACCAATTGACCAAACAACTTGGGGGTAAACATCCCCCCTCCCCCCCTTCAATCCAAAAAAAAAAAAAAAAAAAAAAAAAAAACCCTGTTAGTGCTTGATATTTATTACCTCTCTTTGACTTAGGGACTTATTTTTCTCTCTTCTTTTGTAATTAGGGACTTCGAGCATCTCCACAAAGTGCTGGGTTCCCATTTTTCAATGGTCGGGTTCTTGGTGAAGAATTGCGTCAGGTTGAGGCAAAGTATCCTGCTTTGCTTTTCAAACAGCAACTTACTGCTTTCCTTGAGAAGATATATGGAATGATCAGAGACAATTTGAAAAAGGAAATTTCTCCGCTGCTTGGTTTATGCATCCAGGTAGGGAGCTTTATTGGTGAAAGACAAACAGTATAATTACTTGCTGCGATGTTAACATGAAAATTTATTTTCTTATCATTACAATGTTTATGCAGGTAACAGATTTTTGAAAATCACACAGAAGATACAATACAAACTATATACTTAATATTTGTAACAGACTAACTATGGTTAATTAAAATACTGTCATTAAACTGCCTAAGAATAGTTGTCAATCATCAACTATGTTGGTAATTTGCTAGCTGATATCTACAGATGATTATGTATTCAAGGAGTAGGTTAACCATGTTTGTTATTGTGCAATTCCTATTTGATACTATTTTGATTGTGGTCATGTGATACTACTCTGGCTTTGGCCTGAGTTTATGTAGGATTGTGAACAACAGAACAAGGTTAAATGAGTGAAGCTAACCATTTTTTGTGGGCTACTTGATAAATATAACTTGCCTGCAGGCACCTAGAACTTCCCGCGCAAGCTTAGTAAAAGGGCGTGCTCAGGCCAATGCAGTCGCTCAACAAGCTCTGATTGCTCATTGGCAGAACATTGTCAAAAGCCTAAATAATTATTTGAACACTATGAAAGCAAACTTTGTAAGTGAAGGAAATTTCAACTTGAAGATGGCCTTTTTTTTTTTTCCGCATAGATGCTAATGCTTGCCTAATTGTAAATTTGCAGGTTCCACCGTTCCTCATCCACAAGGTGTTTACACAGACATTTTGTTTTATCAATGTTCAGCTTTTCAATAGGTAATCCTTATCTACATAATTATGCATCTGAGTTTCTTGTGACTTGTGAGAGTTATTTGACTGACCTATAGTTTTGGTTCATGACTTCAGTCTTCTGCTGCGCCGTGAATGCTGCTCATTTAGCAATGGGGAGTATGTTAAAGCAGGTCTGGCTGAGCTAGAACAATGGTGTCATGATGCAACAGAGGAGGTACTTCAAGTTTCTGTCTTTCCGTTCCTTGTGCTACGTACATTGTTTTAATTCCCCTTGTTTTTTTTTTATAACCAGTATGCAGGTTCTGCCTGGGAAGAACTTAAGCACATAAAACAAGCCGTTGGATTTTTGGTCAGCTTCATGAATCTTCTTCTAAATTCACTCTGATAATACTTGGGAGCTTGCTTATTTGTATCTTTCTTATTTTGATGACAAACAGGTTATACACCAAAAGCCTAAAAAAAGCTTGAAGGAAATAACAAATGATTTGTGTCCAGTGAGTTCAAATCCTTTTTTAATTGTCTTATATATGCAAATTTGATAACTTATGTTTCTGCATAACCTTTAACTCACTCTTAACTTTCTGATTTTTCAGGCACTTAGCATACAACAGCTGTACCGCATCAGTACAATGTACTGGGATGACAAATATGGAACACACAGTGTATCTGCTGAGGTGACTGGAAGTTAATTCTGATGTTAATGTTTTTTTGTCTCAAAGCTAACTTTTTTTAAAATTATTTTTTTATTTTTTATATTTTTTAAAGTAAAGCTCTAAACGGCACTACCTTTAAAAGCATCTTTGCAATGTTGATGTGGCCTTTTTCCTCCAAAAAGACGTAGGCTGTGTTTGTTTATTAATAACGGAGAGAAGGGCAAAGTTAGAAGGGATGAGGAAGGAAAGTGAGGGGAGGGAAGGAGCATTGCTTCCATTTCCCTTTCACATCTTTTTAATAGTGGAAGGATTTGGTTTATATAAGGGGAAGGAAAAAGGACACCTCCAAGGCCCTTTTTTTCCCTTTTGCAACTCCATACTTAAATAAGACAGATTAATACTTTACATTCCACTTTAGACGCGTTACTCCAAACACACCATTAAAGTTCTTCCTACACTGCTCCCCCAACTTCACTGATTTGTATATTAGTTTACTGACCTAATACTTGAAAACTTATCTGTCATATGGTAGGTTATTTCGAATATGAGAGTCATGATGACAGAAGACTCCAACAATGCTGTGAGCAGCTCATTCCTTCTAGATGATGACTCAAGGTAATGGTGTTTCAAATCCATCTAAACTTTTCTACTCCTTATATTTATACTGACTTGATAATGAAAATCCATGGCTCCACTCATTAATTACTGCAGCATCCCATTCTCGGTGGATGAAATTTCCAAGTCTATGGAACAAGTGGAGTTGGCCGATGTTGACCCTCCACCTCTACTTCGTGAAAATTCAGGCTTTGCATTTCTATTGCAACGATCAGATTGATATTTCTTGATCACACCTCTTGTTGCCTTATTCTTGCTCCGCGGGAAGCATTCACATGTACATCGCTGCTGTGAAGCTTCTATGTATATTCCTGTAAATTCTAGTCCAGACACTCGTTTATTTTGTCTGGGCTGTTTTTTTTCCTCATCGGTCAAAATGATGGCTGCCTGTTTCTTTTCCATCTTAATTTTTTGTCATTAATATATTTTTTGAGGGGGGTATGTTTTCGTGTGGACAATGATAGGAGGCCACAAAATTATCTTTATATTTTTACCCGGAGTGGTATTTATTTAGGGATGTAATGTGCATCAACCATGCACAAAGCTACATTATGTGCATTGTCTGGCCATGAGAGCATTGTCAATCATGTCATAATGTAGCATCCCTTTTCTTTTGTGGTGGCTCCTCATTGATGTACATTATGTGTTATTGTGTTTGGTGTAATGGTGATGTAAAAAATAGAATTTAGTTTGATGGAAATGAAACAATCTATAATTTTTTTTTGTTTTTATTAACAATGTACCATACCTTTTCAACTTCTTAAACATAATAGTCAATTTGTTGCATGTATTGAGAAACGAGGAAAGCATTACTGCTTTTGTTAATGTCATTATTACTCCCATAGTCATTTTGCTTGCCATATTTTGATTTTTTTTTTTTTTTTTACTCACAAAATTTGCGTGAAACTTGTAGCCATATTTTAATAGAAATTAGTAGATACATTTTCGAATGTGATTTTTTAGTTGACAAATGTTGACATGACACGAATCAAACTGGAAAACAAGTTAGTGTCAAAGGTTTTCGATACGATTAGTAAAATAGGTTAACACGACACGAAACATTTATTTAATGGATCGGGTTAGTGTTGAGATATGTTAACTCGTTTAATTTCAAGCACTAACACGAGAATGAATCGACACCATACATTTGTCAACCCTAATGTTTTTCATTAGTTCCTTCATGAGTAATTTGGTGGAGATTCCAAAAACATCAATATATTACTTCCAAAAACAAAATGTTTTAAATTACAATTGATTCACTTATACGTACGAAGTATATAACAGTAAGGGCTTGTTCATATTTATTGAATTGAGTTGAACTAAAGTGAATCGAACTGAATTGATTGGAGCTGATCTGAACTGAACCGAGCTAAATGAATATTTTATGAGAGAGGGAAATTAGAAACTGAACTAAACTGAATTGATTGAAACTGAACTGAACTGAAATTAAGTAAATGTGAACAGGCCTAGGACCTAAAAAAGTGTATTTTAATTTTTTTAAAGGAGTATTTTAAATTTCAATTTATACTATTTATAACCTTTTTATTTTCTTCTCATTTTGGTAATCATGTTCAATCTGTATACAATTTACTATAATTTTTGTATATATCTTCAATAATTGGTCTTGTATGGACCCGGTCTACAATAAATTATTGTAGACCCAAAATTTTACACTTTCAAATAATATAATCACATTCTGGATGATATAATCACTTTTTTATATGATATAATTATCTTTTTGTGAGTCATATTTTGATCTCATATTAAACCATTTAATGAGATTATATAATTATCTTTAGGATGATAAAATTTAAAAATCATCTTTTGAATGATGTAATTTACTATTTGATACTTTTTATAGTGATAAATTCACTTTTTGAGCGATACATTTACATAATAGTTTCAAGATGACATAATCACTTTTGTAATAATATAATCACATTTCGTATGATATAATCACATTCGTATGGTACACTAGAAGGTTGGGTAATAACTTCAATAATGTATCTTCAATAATATTAAATAAGGTAATGATAATTTACCTAAGTAATATTGTCATTCTTTTTTTTCAAAATTTTTTTTTTCTATAGAACTCATTTTATGACATATTACTAAAATTATTCTGATAACATATACAAAGTATATATATATTAAAAAAAACGAAGGGTAATAACTTTGACATCTATGGTATTGGATATACAGTAATAATTTAATTTGAGTTATTTGATAAAATTCGATATAAAATTTCCTACACATACCAAATTCATTGTATATGATACATTTCTAGCGATAAATATCTAGTACTTTAACCTAGCACAGTAGCACGGTGCCTTAAACCCTTGCAACAAACCTTAAACCCTACACCTTCAACAAACTCAACACCTCTTTTCAAACTTTTCAATTTTATTACGTTGCCCCTCTTTCTCTACCTCTCTCCTCCATTGCAGAGTTTTCCGAGTTTCTCCATTGAAGCGTCTTCTGAGCTTTCCCTCCTCCATTAAAGCTTATTCAGAGCTTTTCTTTGAACCGCCTTCTGTGCTTTCTCTCCTCTATTAAAGCGGCAGGTAATTTGTTATTCATTTTTGGAGTTTAATTTTGATTATTGATTCAAATTTTGCTGCTAAGTTGTTGCAGGCTTTGCTTATAATCCTTCAATGTCGGAAATGGATTATGAAATTGGTCCTATTCCCGAGGCGGAGGCGGCCGCCCCTTCTGCCCTGGCTCTGGGACGGGTTTCTTTGAATTTTGAGTTACAGAGGTTAATTGCTCGTTGTCCGAAGCTTAGGAATGTAGCTTATCTCAGTTCTTTGTTAGAGAAGGTACAAAATTCTCTTAATTATGCTACTTACCCTTTTTTTTTTATTGCTTGGATTACTTTATGTGTTATTAATTCTGGTGTTGTGTTTGGGTTATTTGAAGGGGCATGAATTGGAGGAGGAACAATTAGTGAATGCTTTGGCGATGGTATTGCTGCATCCCACCTATACAATACCTATTATGGGCTGTTTTCGCTCGATTGCTAAGAAAATCATAAACCGTGTTGTCGAGTTGTTAAAACTAGTACCGAATTTGAGGTTTGATCATCCCGGGGGAATTACAAATTCTATGGAGGATAGGTATTTTATTGACTGTGAAGAACTTGAACAAGTATATCTATTTGGAGTGATTGAGACATATTCTAGACATGGGAGGTTTTTGGATCTTCACGAACTTGCGAGTCTTGCCTTTAGTCAAGTACTTGATCTTGCACCTTTCTTGAGGGGGTAAGCAACTAAACATTAGCGTTTTATTTATGTATGAACTTATAATTTGTATACTTTGTAAGACTTGTACATGTCTGTTTAAGGAAAATGTAGAAAACAATCATTGCATAGCTATTTTTTGCATTGCAAGAACCCAATTTCCAGTTTTCAAAGGTATTAGTATTGGATGATTCATGCATGATTCTGTTTTTTTTTTAAATAATTATAACCGATCTTTTCCAATATTTCATATTTTTTGATAGTGCTTTTTTGTCAAACATAGTATTTCTGCATGCTGCATCTGTGTAAAGCTATGCAGACTTAGTAAGCAATAAAGCTTTCTCCTGGGGTAGTGAGCTGTATTCTGTAAAACTGCCTTGATCTGGTTGACTTCATAAATAAATGTCGTCTTTGTTTCTTGAAGTGTTTAGGAGAATAATTAGTAGTTTGCGTTTGTGTTCTTGAGTTAACACTAGAATTTGAGACTGCTTCAGTTTAATGCTTATTAAATTATATTCCTAAGTTCTGACAACTTCAATATTTAAAGGGTTTCTTAGTATATACAAGTACATATCTTTATTTTGGAGTGGTATTACAAAACACAAGCTTAAGAATATTGATTAATCATTTAATATATTAAGTTCTGATTATATTTTTGAGGAAATAAATCTCCAAGCCATATTACCTAGACTCATCATTTTGTCTTTTGTACCGGACACTAAAATCCACAAGGGTATGCAATCCTTATCTGACATTTTTATCCATATTAAGATACTACAATTATCTTGAATCACATGACTGTAGAAGAAAATGTAGAATCAGAGTGAAGGATTTGCACTGCTCTTAAATAGGCTTCTAGTAAGCAAATTTGACAAGGATTAACCATCAAGCTAGCCTAAAATATTGTATATGAACATTTGTACGTCTTAAGTCTTAACTTCTGCCAAAAGTTTGTTGAGGTGAGGAACATGTTCTATTAATGCCAAGCCCCACAAAGTTAAGGACAATGTCCCTGTGTTTAAAACTTTAAATTATCAAACCTTGATGTTTCAGATGCATTGGATATGTATTAACACTCAAAACTTGCCTATCTCTAAGCAAGGTCCTGTTCACTTTACCTTAAGATAATAATATTGAGTAAAAAGAATTTTAGTTCTGTAAAAATCAATTTTAGTTCTGTAAAAATCAATAATTTTAAAGAAGAAATATAATAGAAAGTTAGTACAAATAATTTTAGTTTAGTATAATTAATTTCAGTTTAGTAAAATTGATTTCGGTTGAGTAAAAATTAATTAAGTTAATCAAAAATAATTTCAATTCAGTAAAAATTATTTTAGTTCATCAAAAATAAGGTGAAGTGAATAGGGCCTAATATAGTTTTAAAGGTGTTTCATACATCTTGATCTCAAAATTATATCTTCTTATTGGCGGAGTATGTAAAGAATGTGTGTGCTGTCCAGCATTATTTGAGTGGTGTTATGTTTATTCAATACAACATGGATTTAACTTTCATGTAGGATATGTATATGACACTTGATCCCTGATCATTGTTTCAGTGCAATAGAATGCTACTATGAATTTGGCGGACCCCCATTTCATCGTATTATTGAGGCGACATTCATTTCTAAGGTGAAATCCGAGGTATTTTTTTTTCACTTTTTGGCACCTTGGTTTTTGAATTCTTGATTTTAAAGATGTCAGTTGGTTGATCTTTCATTGTTATTTACATACTTTATTTTGATTACAAAAGTACTCTCAGACACATATCTATCAATATACTTTACTTTATACCATTACATTTTGAGGGAGATATATGTTCGATGATTGCCTATGAAAAGATAAAGTTGGAATTATTAATGAATTTAGATTATATTTTTAACGAATTTAGGTTATTTTTTTTTTATTTTTTATTTTTTAAAAAGAATTTAGGTAGTATTAATGAAAGTGGCACTCCTTTCATGTTGTTGAGATGTTTTGTCTAATGTCGTTCAGTTTCTTAATGATTTGTTGGACTTTTGCACTTCTGTAGTTTTGGAAACCATGCTGTGAGTTTAAGCTACTTTTTAAATCTGCCTGGCTCACTGATTTTAAATACATTCTCATGCTCAATATCATTTTTCATTCTCCAATCTGTTATCTTCTTTTTTATTCCTTCTACTTTTGGTTTCGCAGCCAGCCGCAAGACATCTACGAAATCTTGTCTGGACGTCTTATCGTCTACTTCTTCTGGACCCTGAATTTTTTCCATGCCATTGGAATTGGTGCTGTTTTTTGGACCTGGTACATCAGGCTGCAAGTTTTGATGGTTGTTTTAGTACTGATCTTGCTAGAGATATAAGATGGTGTGGAGTGCAGATACTGTGTATCCTTCTGAAGTTACCCTCTAGAACTGCCGTACTTGGGATGGAGCCTGTAGAAGTTTTACCCTCTTTGTTACGGTAAGTTATTGTATCTGAGCTGTCTTCATGTCTACATAGCTTTGTTGTCAGGGCTGTTGCGAAGCTTGTAATAATGACCTTCCAAATCAAACTTCGCTAAATGGATTTCTCTTAATAGGTGGCATGAGTTCTGTTGGGATGTATCGATAGAAAAAGCTGGCTGGTTCGTATCCAGAAAAGAAGCTCCTATTTTTTCTGATGGAGATGCTGCTTTTAGTGGTGGAGGAGACACTATAGCTATTGATCTATTGAAGCTAATTGAATATGAACCTGAAAAATTTAAAAAGAGGTTGCAAAGGTTTGTTACCCTCTGTTACCCTTGACTGAATAAATGTTAGGAAAAACTGCAAGCATATCCGATGTATTCTAGGATTACGTTGCCTCTAAAAATCCACAAAAGCTATATTTTATTTTGAGTTCATCATTTCCCTTGGGATCCAAACCATGTATTACAAAAGTCTACTCTATGTAAGAGGCTTTTTGTCTGACTGCTGACAATTTTGAATGTGACTGTCATACGTGCTTGCTTGAACGCCTTAATCCCATTAGTGGGGTTGGCTACATGAACCAACACTAGGATTTTGCCTTAATCCCATAAGCCTCTTATACTACTCTCAATCATTGTGGCTCATGTCATTTGATGTGACAAAGGTTTACACTGCTGTGGGACTGGCAGTGGGTTGCGGAGTTTGACTTATGTGCTTGATTTTGAATATCTTCCAATTTCTCTTGCTATCCCTTAGTGGAGGTTATGAAACATTTGATGTTTGTATATTTTCCATTTAGCTTGATTAGGCCAAAATGTATGAAGCCTAGGAATTATCTTGTGGAATTAGGTAGAAATATCTGATAATTTTTTTTTGGCGTATACATATATAAAATTTGTGGCCTCTAATGGTTGCAGGCAGCAAATGAGTAAAATTTATTGATGTTTTGTTTAGAAGATATGTCCTCTCTTGATCTCTATTTCATTCTCTTGAAGTTTTTGTTTGTTACATCCTAATCATATGATCCTGTTATTTATTTTCTGTGGTATTATCAGGGACTACAGCCCTTTTCTTCTGACATCTTCAATACAGAGCAGTTATGAAAGAGTGATCTTAGCAGTAAATCAGAAATGGCCTGTTCTGCTGTATGGTCCACCTGGTTGTGGGAAGACTGCACTTATTAGCAAGTTAGCTCAGGAAATTGGAACCCAAGGTAGCATCCTTATTATTTCCATCTTTTCTTTTTTCCTTTTTTTGTTTGTTTGTTTGTTTGATTGTTTTACCCATATTTCTTTGAACAATTTTTTCTTATATATCTTGATTGTAATTGTCTTTTTGTGTAATTTTTTTCACAGAATGGCTGTTGCCAGCTTTGAGTTTTGTAGTTTTAGTTCTGCCGATTTATGTTCCATTGTACATCTCTTATTTTTGTTTTTGTTTTTTGCTTAGTTCTTTCAATTCATATGGATGAGCAAATTGATGGAAGAACATTGGTAGGAAGTTATGTCTGCACAGAACAGCCTGGCGAGTTCAGATGGCAACCAGGTCCTCTGACTCAGGTTGTACTAGTTTGCATAGACTGGTGGCTTTGCAGTTATTTTTTCAGCTCTTTATTTATTTATTTTTATTTTGTTTTCATATAATTAATGACTCTTTATCATTTACAGGCAGTTAAAAATGGTGTATGGGTTGTCTTTGAAAACATAGATCAAGCAGCTTCAGATGTACAGTCTATATTATTGCCTCTTCTGGAGGGTGGGACTTCTTTTCAAACTGGTTATGGAGAGGTATTGTATTCTGTTCTTTCTTGCTTTTGATCCACCTATAATATGATTTGATTTCTCATGTGGAATCAAATGGCTTTGAAAAATATGTTGTAGTAAATGAAATTAAGTGATATTCATTATGCTGATTACTTAACTGAAGATATGATCATAGTGTTTCGTTTAATGTTGTATATTACCCTTGACTGTTTTCTATGGATATAGAGTTTGCTTTAAAAAACTGAACTACAGCAAATCATTTTATCATTTTGTACACTGTTGATTATAAATTTGCGCGAATTATAAAAATTGTTACTTGCTGCTGCCCTTTTCGAGAAAATATTGGTTAAAATCCTCTGCAGGATTTATTTGATTTACATGATTATATGTGTTGGATGGGGACTTTGGATAAGCTTTGTACTGATGATATTCTTCAAATTCGTAATCAAATTGGACTTATTTTGTTCGTTTCATATGTGTATTGTTTGAGTGGGTGAGACTAGAATAACATTTTTTTTTTTTTTTTTTTTTCCGAAGGGTTCTTGATCTTATGGCATTATTTATTTGAGGTGGAAGGATGTAGCCTTGTTGGGGTTGGTTTGATTGGGCTAGGATTCAATCTTGATGCATCTCCAATTTGTCTACATTGGTCATGATGAAGATTTTATCAGTCATTTCTAGTTCAATTTTTTCCGACTTTGTTTAAGTCCTTTTTTCCTCACTGGATTATTTTATTTATTTATTTATCTTATTAAGTTTTTGTACAAAGTACGTCCTCTGTTTATCATATTGAATTTTTAATCATGTTTAATTGTTAATATGGGTCAATGTATATCATTTTTTTCTTCTGTTTTCAGGTCAGATTCTAAGTTCATATTATTACACTATATACTACCTCCGTTTCGTATTGTGTGCAACATTTACTAAAAATTGTTGCTACACTATGTGCAACAAATATCTTCTTTCCTTTTTAAGTTATCATTTCTCTCCATCTCTCTCCATCTCTCTCCATCTATCACTTACAAGCAAATTTTGCCTAGGAGTCCTTGTCCAGATCTTTTTTTTTGTTGTTATTGATGATGATGATGGTTTGAGGGTTGTTTAATTTGGTCGCAGAAATCATCGGCAAAGAGGAGAGTGGCAAACGGTCCTCAAAAACTCCCATGGCCTCTCCTTGCCTCTTTCTTGTTCTTTCCATTTCTTGTCCAGATATTTGTTGCACATAATATGAAACAGAGGTAGTATATATTTTTTTTTATGATTTGAATTTAAATATAAAGATATTTAAGGGTTAAAGTCGCATTGGCAAACATGTTTTGTCAAAATGATGCAGTTAATGTGAAAATCATGAAACAAATCAAGAGTCATTGCTCATACACAAAATTTTAGGGTCATGAACATTAATTCTCATGCACGTGGATTGAAAAATCAACTTTTAGCTCCAGCTGAACAATAATCTTACAACAATGTCAACTACTCAATGGTGTTAGAAAAAAAATTCCCATTGACAAAAAGGCTTGGCGATCTAGTTCCTTGCCTTGATGTTGCTCCACCAGTATGCCACAGGGACAGGTCTGTAAATTTTTTCACGCATCACTTGCATTTACACTTAGTTTTTGGAGACTTAGCAGTTGATAAAATTGAGGCAAGTGGTGTATGGAAAGTATTTAAATGTAAAACTAGGGCAAGTGTAGTATGGAAAATAGTGTTTTAATGTAAAAGTGGGATATGAATAGTAGTATTATAATGTAATTGTGGGGTATAAAAATTATTTTTATCATGTTAAAGTATCGTGGGATCTTGCAATATGCTATAATTTCTTGAAGGAAGATCAACTAAAAACAAAGACACACATAGAATCATAGATTGGCATGATTCATAAAAAATGTGTTAGTTATGTTCATAAGGTGGTAAGGTGAAGTTTTTATTGATCTTGAGGAATCTCTATATGAGGAATTAGGCTAATAGCCTATAAATTTTATATGTTATTTCCAAACATAATCAGTATAGGCCCAAATAGAAAACAGAACCTAAAGAACCGTGTTCGATTGTTCATAGGGGACATAGTGGAAAACTGATTCAAGGTATATTAAAATAATCTCCACCTTCATTTGAGTCCTTGTAGAGTCAACCAGATGCACCATTACTGCCAGATATACTAAAAAAATCTAAACAAATCCAATCCTTGGTTTAAATCCTCTCTGAATTAACAGACACCATAATAATGCTAGATGTATGGATAAGCCTGATGCCTTTGTTTTTGCCCGAAAGTAATTATCAGGTTCTAACATTTAGTAAGTCAAAATAGTATCGAAACATGTGATAATCAAACAGTTTAGTGAATATGTCAATGGGATTATACTTTTGGGATTTTCCAGGGAAAGATTATTTGACCCAACCAAACACACCCAAAGAGATAAAGAATCATGTTGTCTATGCACCTTAAGGTGTATAGAGTATGGAGTAGCAGTGGTGCTGTTTGCATCTGTATCCCACTAGAGTACCGGACACCATCAACTTCAGGATTCATGTAGGCCAATTATTCTTTTTGGTTTGGTGCCCGGATTGTGGAGAGTTGTTGGAGTGATTTTTCTCTGTAGTTTAGGAAAATAGCTTTCCTGTGATGAGTAAATCTTCACATGCTTTGAAATCCTGCAGATTTTATAATACTGACCATTATTCTCCTGCAGGATCATTTTTTGCTTATAATCAGGATAAAATTGTATAACAAGGGTTATGTGATTGTGAATCTTTACTGATGATTGATATTCTTGCAGGCTATTAGAGTGGCAGAAGGTTTTCGACTATTTTCTACCATCTCAACTTCCAAGCCTGATATATGCGGCCATGCAGAAGGTTTGTGAATGGCTTCTTGTATACTATTTCTGTTTATTGTTAGTCTTCTAGATTCATGCTTTTGGTGCAAATCATCAGAAGAATTTGCATGGGAAGAAAGCTTTCTATCTTGTTCCTGGTTTGGTCTTTGTCGAAAATTTGAATGTGCATATGGCTAACATGTGCTTCAGCTCCACAGAATAGTATAGTCTCCTTCTGCCTCTTAACATCCATAGAGGCAGTGAAAAAAGAGGAGTCTTAGTGTATTTATGTTGACCGTATTGAGTTAAAGAAGTGGATTAAACAGAAGAGGTTTCTTACTATCTTGAATTCCACATATTGATCATGTAGGGAAAGTTGGTGTACTGGTAAGATGGCAAATGGTATTTGTTGTAAGAATAAGGGAGTGGATGATTTGGTGTACTATCTAGAATGCTGATATTGTAGATGCAGTAATCTTCGTAGAATTTACTGTATTTCGTTATCTGTAGATGATTTTACATCAAAGGGGAGCTTTGTGTCTTTTGATAGGTAGAAATGCTTTGTCTGCTCTTTGGAGACGAGTGATGGTCAAGCCAGCAGCTTGCACAGATTTGGCAAATGTAGTGTCTGCATGGTACCCGGATTTGGAGCCTATAGCTTGGAAGCTCATTGGTAATTTCCTCCCCTAGAAGTTTTGTGATCTCAATGTGGAGAGAAAATTTATTGTTATTTTGGTCTTGCAGAAACCTTTGAAATGCTTAATGGAGATTCTGAATTATTTGGATCCGGACAATCTGGTTGCAAGAATTCAACCAGCAGGTTCTCGCTGAGGTTTGTTGATCCAAGCCATGAATGTAGATGATCTATTCTACACAAAACTGTAATCGTTGGCTTTAATGTGACATCTGATCATCTTTTTTCAACAACAGGGATCTGCTGAAGTGGTGTAAAAGAATCGCTGGTTCTGGTTTCAGCTTCAGCTTTGATGGTCTGTCAGCTGACTTGTGTCGCATGATTTATCTGGAGGTTTGATCTTTGACTGTTTAAGCTTACTCTGTATCTATTTTGGGTTGCTAGCTTATCTGTATTACATTTGCATTACAGGCTGTCGATGTATTTGCTGTCAATGCAGCGTCACCAGGTACCAGACTGAATATTGTAAGGAACATAGCAAAGATGTGGGCGGTGCCTGTTCCAGAAGCGGAAGCCCTATATTGTCTTAACAGACCTGTTCTCAAGGTCATTCTTGTTCTGTTCGATCTTTTGCCAGCTTATTTTTGTGGTTTAATATGTAATTTAACTTTGACAACCTAAATAAAAATAGGATTTTATTGGAGCTGTACAAATTGGAAGGGTCACTCTGCCAAAAAAAGAAGATGTAAGTTGATATGCTTAGCTCTTGTGTCAATGGAAGTGTATGTTTGTTTTCCTGAATTAAAAGATATTCTATTTCTCTGCAGCTTCTCCATGAAAGGAAACCCTTTGTGGAAATTCGCAGCTCTTTTCATGTACTTGAGAGAATAGCATGTGCTGTTAAATGGAACGAGGCTGTTCTTTTGGTTGGAGAAACTGGTACTGGAAAAACTACACTTGTGCAGAATCTGGCGACAAGACTTGGTCAAAAACTTACTGTTCTGGTATTTAAGGATTTGCATATTTTGTGCTACGCATAATTAATGTCTTCAATCATAATTTCTTCTTATTTATGCAATCTTTGTAGGTTGGTCTTATTTATTCGTTGTCTCATGTGGTATTATTTGATATTTCAGAACCTAAGTCAGCAGAGTGATGTGGCAGACTTGTTGGGGGGTTTTAGACCAATGGATCCTCAGTATATATGTGTACCTCTTTACAAGGAATTTGAGAGCTTGTTCATGACTACATTCTCTGTAAAGGTATTGGTATATGTTTGAGTGCTTTTTAAGCTGCCTATTCAACCCTGATTTGACACATTTTTTTTTTAAAAAAAAAAAAAATTTATTTTTGTATTTTCAGGATAATCAGGATTTTCTTGCTCTGTTGAAAAAGCTTGTGAACGACAAGAATTGGACTAAACTGTTGACTGGTTTTAAGAAGGGTGTCGAAAGGGTGGTTCGTATAGGGAGGTGTGGGTCTGGAACCAAGCGAAAGAGACCTCTGGAGGAAAGAGTTTTGGGGCTCTGGGAAAATTTGTCTCAGAAAGTGGAAATAGCACGCAATCAACTTGCTGGCTCATCAGGAATGGTATTTTCATTTGTTGAAGGAGCCTTTGTTACAGCACTGCGAAATGGCGAGTGGATTCTGCTAGATGAAGTAAATTTAGCTCCTCCTGAGACATTGCAGAGAATCATTGGTGTCCTTGATGGAGAGAGTGGTTCACTATGTTTAGCGGAAAATGGTGTTGTCGTGGATAGACATTCTAACTTCCGCATGTTTGCCTGCATGAATCCCGCAACTGATGCTGGGAAACGGGACTTGCCATATTCTTTGCGAAGTAGATTTACAGAATACTTTGTAGATGATGTTTTGGAAGATGAGGACTTGACTCTCTTTGTTAATCAGTTTCTTGATGACAGGCACACAGATAAAGATTTAGCAAATAAGATTGTACGGTTTTATAAGATGGCTAAAAAGGAATCTGAAGAAAAACTGCAGGATGGGGCCAACCAGAAGCCTCAATATAGTTTGAGGTCTCTTTATCGGGCTTTAGAATACATTAGAAAAGCAAGGAAGTTAGGTTTTAAAAGAGCAGTGTATGATGGATTTTGCATGTTCTTTATGACTTTATTGGAGGATCGCAGTGCTGAAATGATGAATGAAAGAATTATTTCATTCTTGCTTGGAGACCATAAACACCTACCACCACCTATCCCTCTGGAGCAACTGTTGAACATCAAAGAAAAACCTGGATCTGAACAGTTTCTGAGAGAGTACGTAATAACTAAAAGTGTTGAGGAGCATATAAGGAGTTTGGCTCGAGCAGTTTACATAAAAAGATATCCTGTTCTCCTGCAGGGTCCAACCTCTAGTGGGAAGACTAGTCTTGTGCAGTATCTTGCTGCAAAAACTGGCCATGAGTTTGTTCGTATAAATAATCATGAACATACTGATCTGCAGGAGTATTTAGGATCGTATATTACTGATGCCAGTGGGAGACTTGTATTTCATGAAGGTGTATTGGTTAAGGCCGTTCGTTTTGGACATTGGATTGTCTTGGATGAGCTTAATCTTGCACCTTCTGACGTCCTAGAAGCATTGAATCGATTGCTAGATGATAATCGAGAACTTTTTGTTCCAGAGCTGCGTGAAACTGTGCGTGCTCACCCAAATTTTATGCTTTTTGCTACTCAAAATCCTCCAACTTTTTATGGTGGCCGGAAGATGCTTTCACGTGCGTTTCGTAACCGTTTTGTTGAGATACATGTTAATGATATCCCAGATGATGAGTTAACTGAAATATTAGAGAAGAAATGCAAAATTCCTCGCAGTTATGCGAATAAAATGATTGAAGTTATGAAGGAACTACAGCTACGGAGGCAGAAGAGCAAAGTATTTGCTGGAAAACATGGATTCATTACTCCGCGAGATTTATTTCGATGGGCTAACCGTTTCAGTAAGTATGGAACTTCGTATGAAGACTTAGCCAAAGATGGCTATTTCCTTTTGGCAGAGAGGCTCAGGGATGAGATTGAGAAGAATATTGTGCAGGAAGTTTTGGAAAAGCATCTGCGTGTTAAACTCAAGAAAGATGAATTGTATAAACAGGTATTTCCCTTATTGTCTTAACTAAAAAATTGTGGTCCTCTACATAATTTCTGTTACATTTTACCCTTGATCTTTTCTGTGATAGCCACGATGCTGTTTCCTTTTGATACTAATTATATTTACCAGTTGTCACAAATCAGTGTGTGCCTTTTTACTGTTTTTATGTGTGCTTTGACATTCAATTGTGCTAATGATATATGGGGTCAGTAAAGTTAAAAGTATCTTTTTCTTCTAAATTTTATGTTTATACTTTTCAGGGATCTATAGAGATGAATTCTTTTCAGGAAAATGTTGGAGAGTACGTATATATATATTTTACTTATTACATTCTGTATAGCCGTCTTTCAGTATCTTCAATTAGTTTTTCTATCACTGTTGCCTAAATGAAAAATCTTGATTGCTGCAGTATTGTTTGGACTAAAAGTATGCAGAGGCTTTACTTCCTTATTGAACGCTGTTATCAGCTAAAGGAGCCTGTACTGCTTGTTGGTGAAACTGGTGGTGGAAAGACTACCGTGTGCCAGCTACTGAGCATGGCTTTGAGTGCCAAACTGCATATCTTAAACTGTCATCAGTACACAGAAACTTCTGATTTTATTGGGGTTTGTGTTTAGCTTTCTTTCATTTAATTGATCCGATTTTTAGATTTTCTACATGTTGAGTACTCTGTTAATGTATTTGGATTTATTATTGACAGGGATTCTATCCAGTTCGCGAGAGGTCAAGGATAGCATCAGAATTCAAGAATTTGATTGAACACCTAGTGATCTCATTGGCTTCAATCCATTTTGATAGTGTATGGTACCTTTGAATCTCTGATGATGCGTCCATTATATGGAAAAAAGGCTCTTGTTTTGAAATTATTATATTTGTGGGTGCAGAAACTTTCTACTGATATTGGCAAAGCTCCTTCTACTCTTAAGCAATTGGGAGAAGTTTTGGATGAATGTAAACATACTCCGGTCTCTATGTCTGATGGGCATGAAAATGATCTTGCTTCTTTTGAAAAAACGAAAGCAGAGCTATCTCAGCTGTATCAGCAATGGCAAACAATTTTCGTATGGCAAGATGGACCACTAGTACAAGCTATGAAGAATGGGAACTTACTTCTTGTGGATGAGATCTCTTTAGCTGACGATAGTGTGCTGGAACGGTTGAATAGTGTGCTTGAGCCAGATAGGAAACTAGTGAGTGTTATAAATCTGTTTAATCTTTTGTGCATATTCTACATTGCTGCAGTAGCTGTTGCTTCGTTTTATTTTGGTGGTAGATCATCACAGCTTAGAGTTTCTTGTTCAGTATGTGGCTAGATTTTTCTCATGATTCTCAATATAACTAGGATCCTGGTTCTCTAATGCTGTGGATTTACCAAGTTCAAAGGGCTTCTTTCTTTAGTTTTTTTTTAATAATTATGTAACTAGAAAGGCTTCATTGACACAGGGAATAACAATATTATGGATCAACACTGACACAATACTCTTTTCTGAACCATTCAAAACCACAAATCCAGACGATGTAAATTGAGAGTCCTTGTGACTTGCATAAGTATGTCCCGTTGGTCACTTGGGCCTCCTACTCATTTTGCTACCTCTCACTCTTAATTTGGCTCGTGGGAAGACCGAGAGGTCTATTAGTTGCAGCCATCCACGTTCACTGTGACTCTAACCAGTTTTTTAATATCATATTTTCTATTAAGAATGGTTATTATATTGTTCGTGAGATTACTGGATTGTTCTCTTGTCACCAAGAATGATAATCATTAGTTAAAACTTATTTGGTTTGTTATAATGGAATATCTTCCGTATTAGCATACATTTTGGGTTACAATGCTCAACCCATCGTTAGAATATAATCTTTCTCATGCATCACTTGTAACTACCTTGTAAGGAAAATGAGGCATATGATTAGGTTTACTGTAATCCACAGTATGAAATAGTCCTTTTGAGACCTTTTTTAGGGAAGTAGAATAGGTTATTCTGTTGTTGAAATGCTTAAGTAATTCTATTTTCTACTTTGTGCAGTCTTTGGCCGAGAAGGGAGGACCTAGTTTAGAGACTATATCAGCTTCTGATGATTTTTTCCTTCTCGCTACGATGAATCCTGGTGGGGATTTTGGTAAGAAAGAATTATCTCCAGCACTTCGGAATAGGTTCACTGAGATATGGGTTCCCCCTGTTGATGACTTAGATGAGTTGAGAGGGATCGCTGAAAGGTATGCTGGTTTACTTGGACTCTTGGAGGATTTGAGATATCTGTTTGATTGTTTCTATGTTTAAATGACTTTATTTCATCTTCTTGTACAGGTTCCTAAGTCCCAATCTCCATTGTTTTTTGAACCCTCTTGTACATTTCTGGGAGGTATGTTTCTTATTGATCTCAATGATGGAGTTATTTTATAGTAGTGCAAGTGTTAGGGACACTCGTTATATGAAAGTTTTGTGTGATTTTGGTAAAATGAAGAGTCAAGTATTCAACACAGATAGTGTAGGTAAAGTGAAGAGTCGGAGTAACATTGTAGAAAATAATACAAAGTAGGAGGATAAGGTGTCTTTGTGAAAAAACCAATAATTTTATATGCAAACAACATCTCTTTAATTTCTATACAGCTTGTTTGGATAAGAAGAAATGGAGGGAAAGGAAGAGAAGGGAAAGGGAGGGGGATTAAATCCATTGTTTGGATAGCAAATTAAGGGGGTGAGGGAAATGGAGGGGAGGGAAATGAAGGGAAAAGTTTTATTTAATTGTTAAAGAATAAAATCCTTCCAAATTTCTTCCAAATTTGAAAAGATTTGGAAGGAAAACAATAGACAGCTGGAATACTTTATTGAATCTCCTCTATTATTTTTCTCTCTCCTCCTCCATATGGGCTACAAACGATCCGAGTTGAGCCGAGTTTTAGTCTGTTCGAACTAAGCTTGATAAGAATTATTCATGTTCGAACTATCTCGAGCTTGAACGAGCTTTTAAAAATCTTGTTCGAGCTGGGCCCGTTAAGAATTTGGCTTGTTCGAGCTTTGTTCACGAACGTACTCGGTTGCATTTTGAGTTTAAGTTCGAGCTTAAACGGGTTTAAATCGGGCTTGATAAAATAAACAAACCCTAATTTATCATTTAAAAAATTGTTTCTTTCAAATTTTAACACATCCATGTAATTTTATATAAGATTTTTTTATTCTTTTTATAGACTAAGATAATGACGGAGCTTTCATGCCTTTACATGATGATATAATTAGTATGTATGAATAAAAAATACATAAATTGATTGAGTTTTAATTGGTCGTGTAAAAACCTGAAAATGGACTTAAACGAGCTGTTCATGAACATTACCGAGTCGAACATGATGTTTTTCGAGCTTTGTTCATCTATTTAACGAGCTTAAATTTTTTGTTCAAGCTTGTTTGTTAGCTTAACAAACGAGTTTTGACCAAGCTTTGACCGGTTCGCGAGTAGTTCATGAACGTATGAGTTCATTTACACCCCTATCCTCCATACTGTTCTCACGATATTTTGCCCCAAATTTCTTGGGTTTTGACATTCCTAATTCATCTTTTTCAGTTTCTTGAATTTTCAAGGTAAAGGCCAAATAATTCAACATGTTATTCTACTCTGCTTCTCATGAATTTTTTGCCCCAAATTTCTAGGATTTTGACATTCCTAATTCATCTCTTTCAATTTCTTGAATTTTCAAGGTAAAGGCCAAATAATTCAATATGTTATTCTACTCTGCTTCTCACAAATTTTATCCTCCAATTTGTTTATTTTTTTTTTGGAAAATTTGTTAAAAAAACCTTTTTAAAGGGCCATTTTGCGGAAAAAAAATCTTTTAAAAGCTTTTTGGTAAAAAAAAACCACCAGGTTTATTTTTTTCGCAAATAGAAACCTGTTTACGTAATTACTCTCTAATTACTTAATTACTCACTAATTTTCTCTTATTCCTTCTAAGTACCCTTTAACCCACTTGTTAATTTAATAAATAAATTTAATTTTAAAAAAAAAATCACCACCCGCCAACCACCATCTTCCCTTCCCCCCCTCCCTTGGAAGCAACCTCCTCCCCCGTCGGACCCATCACCAAGATCCCCCTTATCCCCACCAGCGACCACCCGCCTTGCTAAGCCCTAACCTTGAGATGTTCTCTGATTCTAGCTATTTGTAATTAATAATAAAAAAAAAGCATTTGTGAAAGGAAGCATCCATGTTGATAATGTCAGGTTACTTGGTGTGCCTATCACTGTGAATCTTCTTAGGAGAGAGAAAACATTAAGGTGGGCATCTTCCATTTGAGGTTAAAGAGTTTGGTGGAGGGGGAGATGGTAATGGCAGGTTTGGTAATGGTGACAACCCACCACTACAAAAAATGCTGCCAGTGGGGTTGAGGAGTTTGGTGGGCGGTAGGGGGGAGATGGAGGTTGAAAGGAGGAGAGAGAAAGTAGCGAACGAGAGTAAAGCTGAATGGTTTGCCTGTTGCCGTTGAAGATGGGTCGCCGAGGGTGGCCGGTAGAGGATTCTACGTAGTGGCTCAGTTGGGGAAGAAGCCTGCCAGGTGATTTGGAAAGGCAAGAGGGTGGCTGGATGGTGGTGGAGTGGTGTTTTTTGTTTTTAATTCATAAATTAATTTAATTATTAAATAGTTAAGTAAGAGTTAGAAGTTAATTAAAAAAAATTAGAGCTTAATTGAGTAAATTAGGGATACTAGGTTTCCTTTAACAAAAAAAATTTACAATCGGGTTTTCTTTTGCCAAAATGTTTAAAATTGGGTTTTTTTTTAAACCAAAAAGCTTTTAAAAGGTTTTTTTTTCCCGCAAAATGGTGCTTTTAAAAGGTTTTTGTTTGAAAATCAGTTCTGGAAAATCTGTATGAAAATCAATTTGATATTTTAGATTGCTGTACATAATATTTTTTGGGATAGCATAAGATATTAAATTATCTGTTTTTGGTTGAATTTAATGACGTTAATCAATTTTTTTTTTATTTTTTTTTTATCAGGTTTAAATTATAATAAAAATAACTACAATATAATTTTTGATTAAGAATAAAAAAAATAAAATGGTGAATGCTCCTCCCCTTCCTCCCTTTTTTCCTTTATCCAAACAAGGAAGGTTCGATTTCTCCTTCCCTCCCCTCCTCTCCCCTCCCCTTATTTTCCTTCCCCTCCCTACCCCTTCCCTTCTTTTCCTTCCTGATAGTGTATCCAAACAAGCAGTTAATGATTTGCAGTTTAGCACCTACAAACCCTTGCCTTCTTAGGAAAGGACACCAAAGAAAATGCTTCTATTATGTAACTTTATAAAATTATTGCATTTTAATGTAACTTTACCAAATTATGGCACTTTTTCAAATTATGGCACTTTAATGTAAACACATACACCAAATTATGGCCAACTAAACATTGTACGCGGTACCATAACATCTGATTTCTTTTGTCTCTTAAATCACAATAGATGATTTGAAGCAAATTCTTATGACAAAAATGTTGGATAAGATCCAAAAAGAGAAGTATATGGGGCCGTATTCTTTCCTTTGAGCTCTCCTTCATTTTAGCCATTGCTTGAGCATCTGAGGTGGGAAGGTAGAGTAAATATGTACATGTTTACGAGTAGAAGGGGTCGTATTCTTTCCTTTGAGCATGTTTATGGCATCGGCTGATTGTACAACTTCCGTTTTCTATTAATAAACCTATTTATTGTAGTCTTAGTGGGTGTAAGAGAAAGATGGATAAAGTAAGAAAGATGTAGTAAAAAGGTACTTGGGTGTAAGAGCAAGTTGGATAAAGTAAGAGAGATATAGTTGAGAGGTAAGGGGGTGTAAGAGAAAGGTGGATTCAGTTAGAGACAATGTGTGAATAGATGTAAATTACTGTGTGTAAGGGGATAAGATTGTAAAATGTGCTAACCAAAGTAGAATTATTTAAAATTGGGTACATCATATAAAACTCCTCAAAATGGAAAGTGGGTACATCATAAAAATAACAGAGGTAGTAATTGTTTTAAGCTTTATAATCTTTTAGCTATTCAAGTTAGATTGACATGTTCTTTATCAAATTTGGAAGATGCTGTTTTTGCGTCTTTGTTTTGATATATGAATCATTCCTCTTCCTGTCAAATATAGATAGTACAATGCACTATTTACCTTTTTATGATTTTAACACATGCTTTATCATTCTACAGTGGTTCAATCAAATACAAGCAGGAAGGATGCTTACTGTGAGGGACCTTCTAGCGTGGTTGGACTTTGTTTCAAAGACAGAGAAGAGCTTACATCCTAATTTTGCGTTTTTGCATGGGGCCTTCCTTGTTTTGCTTGATGGACTGAGCTTGGGTATGTCTTTAGTTTTTGTTTACTGTATTATCTTTTTCTAGAGAATTAAGATTGGGTCTTACCTTTTTTTCAAATATCATAAAATGGAGAAGGGATAGGTAGGGGTTTGCATAGATGGATACAATTAACTTGTACTAGCTGCACACATAGTTCAACCTTCAATTATATTTAAAAATTCATTAGAAAAAGTCAACTGGACGACTAAATTGTGTTTTGTTTTTTGTAAGGATATACTGTTTATTTTGCGATTTTTTTGTTCTCTTTTAAATAGAATATGCTCATGACGAATATAGTATAATCTTATGTTACCCCTGAAAAGGGAAACAAAGAAGAGATGATAAATTGTAGTAACTCTTAGAGAACAACAATAAATAAGTCAGAGAAGTTAATTCTTCCTCTGCCTCTTAAAAGTTGTCATGTTTTGACTCTGACACTATTAACATAAGTTACTGTCTTTGTTTTGTGGTTTATACTTAAGAAAACATAGTATTTTGAGGTCTTGTTAGATTTATCTCAATATATACTTTCTATAAATTAATGTTTGCCTATTGATTATTGAAGATATTGATATTTCATATCATACATTGACAAGTGCTTAAAGGAATATATCAACTAATATGAAACAGAGGAAGTATGTTACGTTACCGGGGCACACTCTAGCTTTATTAATTATTTTGATATAACTAATCTAAGTGAAAGGACATACAAACTATCTCCATTTTTTAGTTTGACTCAGCTACTGTGGATACGTAGATTAGGAAAATTGTGAAAAGAGAGAGTTGGTAGATGGAGTAAAAAAAGTTAGTAGATCTAAGAAAAAAGTAGATAAAGTAAGAGTGAGGGAAAAGGTGTAAATATGATGGGGCAAGTATTCTGAACAAAAGAACAAAGGATATTTTTTCAGGACCCTTTTTTGACTCTGCTTACCCCCCCCCCCCCAATATTCTCTCTCTCTCTGATGCCCCCCCCCCATATTCTCTCTCTCTCTGATGTTTATTCCTTTTAGATCTCTCTTATTTGTTGTTCCTTTATTTGCTTTTTTCTTATATTTATGTTTCTCATGAGCTAGAGTAATCTGTCAAGAACCACAAAAAAAAAAAAAAAAAAAAAATCCCTTCTAGCATAGTTAATCATGATTCTAACTTCATTGTGTGTGTTTTATTTTTATTATTATTATTATTATTTTTTTAAAACTCATTTTGTCTCCCAAGTACATTAGTGCTATGTACATTTATAGCTGACTACGGCTGCTTTAGTCTTGAATGGTTTGAAGTTTTGAACCCTATTAACATCCTGCAGGATGACCTATGGGCTTACGTCATTTACATTGACAGATTATATAAAACTCTAATGTCTGATCCCATAAGCTTGCCTTCTTCTACTTCTTACTTAATATATAAATTCTGTGATATTATCTTTACGTAATGAAATTATTTCTTTCTGCTAATCACTTATGTTTGTTTCTCTTCTTTTTTTTGCCAGGCACTGGTATATTGAAGAACGAAGCGTCTGAAGTAAGAGACAGATGCCTTGCCTTTCTTGTGAAACAGCTTAAGGTGTGCTTACTGTTCTGCTTGACTTGTCTCATCTCTCGTTTCTCTCTCTCCTGTAAGGGAATGGATTTGGTACTCTTGAGTCCCAAATTAACACAACCATTTTAACTTAACTCATGTGAGGAATTCTTGCCTCAAAAGTGTGCAAAAATAACCTGTACGTTGGTAGTAGTCAGAATTTAAGACCTCATGATGGATTGTTGTGCTTTGAATTATCTTTTATGTATGGTTACGTTTCTGCAGTACTCATTGGTACTCTATATTGTTTATGATTTACTAAGCTATACTGTTGCTGGTTCAAGATAATTGCAATTTCATTTAAGTTGTTTGTTACAGGCAGATGATTCCTCTGTGATTGATTCAGAGCTACTTCAGATGAAAGTTTATGGATGGGCTGATATTAGCAGGGATGTGGATATTTCAATACCCGAGGAGATGCAATGTGACAATGTTTTTGGCATTCATCCATTTTACATTTCGAAAGGTATTTATTGCTTAATTTCTTTCTGCAACTAATCTGTTGCCTGTCATGTATTGTTGTGCCATTCCTTTCTGTTACTCTCCTGATAATATAAGCTCTCTTTTTTAAAAAAATTTAATTTATCATTTACTTGGAGAAGAATTTTATAGCTCTTATGAAAAATTGGAGAAATTTGTTTGAAATTATTGCCATGTAATATTGTAAACTCACCTTCTCACATGTCACAAATTCTTCATATCTGGTTTGTAATTTGGTATGAATTAGGAGTAAGGTAAGAAGATTGGTATGGCAATCATCTTGTTTGGCTTTTTTTTTGGGTCTTGTTGTAAGAGCTATGTGACTTGATAGTCTATATAGTTTATTTGCATATCTTCTGTTATATTTGGTACTGTAAGTCTGTAAAGCATGTTTTGACACACTCCTTATCTTCGTTGATTATGACTGTCAGCATTCCTTTCTTATTTTTGTTGTTTCTTTATTTCCTCATGATTTGTAATGTTCAAAATTTCATGTTCGCTATTATGGATTGATCATGATATTGTTGCATTGCACTTGATTTTGTGTTAACTGATATGTAACTCTGTGAAACTATGAATTATAGGATGGATCGGACCTGCATGCATTTTTCAGTTAAATTAATTGTGCACTGTTAGCTGTTTTAAAAACCATGTTCTTTATATATTTCTGTGTAGGTGGCGTTCATGTGGAAAATAGTGGATTTGAGTTCTTGGCTCCTACTACACATAGGAATGTCTTGCGAGTCTTGCGTGCTATGCAACTTTCAAAGCCTGGTTTGTTTTTTTAATTATTATTGTTATTTTTTTTATAAATATTGTTATCCCCACCCCCTCCCCCCCTCCCCCACCATAGCTTGGTGCTAATTTGTTATTCTGCCGATTTTCCTAATTTATTCTACCAAATGTAGTGCTGTTGGAAGGTAGCCCTGGTGTTGGAAAAACAAGTTTGATTTCAGCCATTGGAAAGTTTTCAGGCCACAAGGTTGTACGTATCAACCTGTCCGAACAGGTTAGAATTGCGCTGTTAGCCTCTTTTGAGCTCCATATATATTCTCCTATATGTTTTATATTTTTGCATTTCTTACTCTTGTGTCGTTGCGTTTTTTTTTATTTGTTGCTTTTGCATTATAAGTTATTTTCATTTTGACCTGTTGCAGACTGATATTATGGACCTATTGGGTTCAGACTTGCCTATTGAGAGTGAAGAAGGGTTGCAATTTGCTTGGTCGGATGGAATTTTATTGCAGGTACTGGAAGTTTGTTTTCATGGTAGATTATTCAGTTAGACTGCAGTAATAATAACATTGTTTATGATTTTTGTTCGCAGGCCTTGAAGGAGGGATCTTGGGTTTTACTGGATGAGATAAACTTAGCTCAGCAATCTGTTTTGGAGGCATATAGATTTCTCATTTCTGTGTTCTTATCGTTTATAAGTTTTGGCTCTAGTGTAGCTTTTCTTGAGTGTTTTTCTCCTTCTCACTGAGATTTTTTATTTCAGGGTCTGAATGCTATTTTGGACCATCGAGCTGAGGTGTTTATTCCAGAGTTGGGCCAGTCTTTCAAGTGTCCATCTTCCTTCCGAGTTTTTGCTTGTCAGAACCCCTCTTGTCAAGGTGGTGGGAGGAAGGGTCTTCCAAAATCATTTCTTAATCGGTTCACAAAGGTATGTGGTTATGTATGCAGTAACCGTATACCTATTGTTCTTGTTTTAGATTCTTTGAAATAAATGTTGCAAAATAGCTTATGCCCGTATTATCCTCTCTTTTGGACCTGCTCTTTGTTAGGTTTATGTGGACGAGTTAGGTGAACATGATTATCATTTTATATGCCGTTCTCTCTTTCCATCAATCCCTGAGTCCATTCTTGTGCGATTGATTACATTCAATAAGAGATTGTATGAAGAGACTATGGTATGTCATAAGTTTGCGCAGCAGGGATCTCCATGGGAATTCAATCTGCGTGACATCATTCGCTCCTGTCAGATAATTCAAGGTATTTTTTTTTCAAGTATACCTAAAGTATTTCTGATACAAACATGTTATTTGTTTGCTAAAGAATTATCTTTTGCAGGTTCATCTGAAAATTCTAAGAACGATTGTTTCCTAAATGTTGTTTATGTGCAAAGAATGCGAACTGCTGCAGATCGTAAGGAGGTATTGCGGTTATATGAAGAAGTTTTTGGGATAAAGCCTTCCATAAACCCTTATCCACGTGTGCAGGTGGATGATCACTTTTTAGTAGTCGGGAATACTCGTATTAAGAGGAATCAATTCCAGTCCATTGAGACCATTGGTAGCGAGCTTAAGATTTTTCCAGGTTTGAGGAATACATTGGAAGCTGCTGCACAATGTATACAGCATAAGTGGTTAGGAATTTTTGTTGGGCCAACATCTTCTGGAAAAACATCACTGATAAGGCTGCTTGCACAACTAACTGGAAATGTGCTCAATGAAATCAATCTTTCATCGGCTACAGACATTTCTGAGTTGCTTGGGTCCTTTGAGCAATATAATGCCTATAGGAACTTCCACTCTATTGTATCTCAAGTTGAGCGCTATATGAATGAGTACTGCAATTTGCAGTTAGATTCTTCTGCTGATGAATTTTTAAGAGAAAGAAGAGACCTGATTTCTAAATGGCTCTGTTTATCATCTAATATAAGTTCCGGTCACATGACAAAATCTGATACTGCTGATGGTGAAAATTGGATGACAACTCTACCGTCGTTGGTTGAAATTATTGAACTTCTAGTGTTGGACTTGGAAAGGTATCTGCTACCTTTGTCTTGTTCATTGAATGATTTGTCTATACTTTTGCAAAAAGTTCAGAAGCTGCAGGAAATTCAAAAAGGAAGGCCAGTTTCAGCAAAGTTCGAGTGGGCTGCTGGACTACTGATAAAGGCAATCGAGAACGGAGAATGGATTGTGCTCGAGGATGCTAATCTTTGCAATCCAACGGTATGCCTTTTTATTTGTGGAACTGCATATCTGGTAGCAAACATAAGAATAGAATGTAAACTTTAGTTTGGTTATCAGTTTTAACTTCCAACCATTTTGAAACTACCTTTTTTTTTTATAATATAATAATAATAATGTCGTTTTTATAATGTCGTTTTTATGTTTTCCATACATGTGGATCGATTTTAACTTTGTCAAACTAATATGATTTTTGTATTTTTTTATTTTTATTGTAGGTTCTTGATCGAATCAATTCATTAGTTGAATCAGAAGGATCAATCACTATAAATGAGTGCGGTAACGTGGATGGGAAACCTTTGGTACTCTCCCCACATCCTAATTTTCAGATGTTTTTCACCATTAACCCAAGCCAAGGTGATGTTTCTCGTGCAATGAGAAATAGAGGAATTGAGATTGTTATGATGCATCCATATTGGCTACTAGATGTAGATGGCAAAGAAAAGATTCAGGCGTTAGAATTAGATGATATTAAGAGCTTTCTTGCATTATTTAACATTCTAAATGGGATGTTAGTTGATTCAATGGCAAAAGCTCATATGCATGCTAGGAATGAAGGTCTGTGCCTTGGTGTTCAAATTACTTATCTTGAGCTGAGACGATGGATTCATTTATTTGAGCAGCTTTTAATGACTGGCAATGATGTTCTGTGGAGTCTCCATTGTAGCTGGGAGCATTCTTATCTTTCATCATTAGGTGAAGCTGCAGGATGGCATATTGTCCAAGAAGCAAAGTCATCTTATTTGACCAACCTTGATTCTGTTTTTCTTGGAGGAAAGTTCATTGTCAATTCGAGGGATTCTTGTTCAAAGGAGGTGACAGAGGCCTCTAATGGAGGGTTATCTCTTTGCTTGCCAGGTGGGTGGCCTGCGCCATTGAAACTTCGGGATTATGTCTGGTACTCAGTCGAAGCTTCTGTCAGACAAAACTGCCTGTATCTGGAGTATCTTGGGGTGCAATGTGCATCATATGAACTATGCATTCCCAGGAATCAGATGTTGAGGGAGGATGTCTACTCGAATGGTTCCAAGTCAATATATCTGTTGGACTTGAAGATGTTGCAGACATTAATGTACCCTCAAGGTCAAAGCGGTGAATCTATTAGTTATATTTTGTCAAAGGAATATGATATTCTGCTCACCAAGAAGAAGCTTTTATTTGCTGTTGATTGGGCCATAGATCAAGTCACTAAAAAAATTGATCTTGATCTATGTCTTTTGTGGTTTAGCTGGTTTGATTCCCAGTTGCAGCCCTGCTGTCAATTCTTTGGTTCTTTGGGTTTGGAGAATCTACTTAGAATGGAATTGGAACATCCAATCTGGAAGTTCATCTTCCTAAAACGCCATGAAATGTCTCATCAAAATGTTATATTTGACCTGGAGTTATTGCCAATTCTTTCTTTGGAGTCTGCTGAAGTTCTCACAAAATTATCAGGTTCTTCTGGAAAACATCTTTTTAATGCTATCAAGAGTGTTAGACTTTTAAGGCGTAGTCTGTGGCAGTGGAATGCTGAGGTCAATAAAAACTTCGGTGATAAATCGTTTGGATGTCTGGTGAAATCTTTGCGAAAGCTGGAAAAAGAAGTGCTTGATGTGATTGTTGAATCTCCATCGTTTGAAATATTACATCAATTATATACTGATCTTCTGGAAGAACACATCTTATTTTGGAATGTTTTTGTGTCATCAGAGCTAACAACTTTGCTAGTTCATTGGCGCGCTTTGATAAAGATTGCATTAAAATTGAGAGATTTTTTCCCTGAAGCAGCAAATAATTTGTTTGTAAGTCCTATTTCTTTCAAATGATGTAATTTCTTAGATTCTTCACCCTGGCCCATACTTAAACAGATTTTATTTTATTTTATGTTTGTTTGTTTGTTTTTTTTTTTTTTTTTTTTTTTTGGGGGGGGGGGGTGAGGGCGTGAGGGGAATACTCCCTGACTTGTTTATTCTTTCAAGACATTTACTCTTCTGTGAAAGTCTTTTTAGCCTGTTGGTTGCTCGTTTTGTGACTAATTCTGTTTATCAATACTGTAGAAAAGTTTTGATATGATGTCGATAAGTCTTCATAGAAGATTGCCTTACTCTCTGAATTCCGAAAAGTCAATGCTATGGGCACATGGAGGCCATCCATCTTTACCCTGTTCTGCTGATATATGTAATAAACTCCAGCAACTTATTGGTTTTGCAAAGCTAGTCTGGCCAAGAAAACATTTACAGAAGCAGTGTATGTGTACTTTCACATATGTTAGTTATTTTTGTAGGGTATGAATATTTTACTGATAATTATTTATGTTGCAGTGGATGATCGTATTGTTGAAACTGCTGTATCAACGAATCAAGAACTTCGTTTTCTTTCAATGCAAGGTAGGCTAAGTTCCTTTAACACTATTTGTGATCTTTGGTAAAGCTAACACATGCAGATTTAATCAAATGAAGTAACCATTGTCTCACAACCTATGTGCTTCATTTTTGTGGGGTAATCTTCCATTGTTTAATGGATATATGATGATTTTTGTAAAAAGATGTGATTTTCTCAAGAAAGGAATAAATTTGCATGCTTCTTTTGATTTTAGAAATTGTGTTGTACTTGTATCTCTACGTGTTGCAAGGAAAATGAATATTGAAACATGGAAAATTGAAAATTAAAAACTCTAGTGTTCAGTGAGAGAGAGAGAGAGAGAGAGAGAGAGTTATGCAAAGGAATTCCCTTTTTTTCCTTTCATGCCCTACATAAGTAACTCAGAGAAACTCAAAGTAGTGATTTGACACAATTCCTTGAAGAAACCTTACATTAAAATAAATTGCATTTGGTAGAGGAGTTTATTTGAATTATATAAGATATTTTATTTTAGTTTTCCAATCGGATAACTTTTTTGCCAAGAACATTTTAATTGGATTTGCCTCAGACCCTCTGTAAGGAAGCCTAATTCGCTCTTTGTTTCATGGACACATCAAATTGAAGGCCTTTGTGTTTCAACTTTGAAGTCGGATATTGTGTCCCGACTCTTCTCTTTGTTCTGTGTATTTTGCTTTGGTTTGTAGAAGTCAAGTAGCATTTTATCTTTCTTTCTTTTTTTTTCCCCCTCGGAATCTATAGGTGTTTGCATGACATCTTCTCTATTCGGGAGATATGAAGAGGGGGACATTGCAGATAAACTTCAGGAGATGTATGAGGTATGTCTTTTTTACTACACACACACACACACATGCATATCCTTCTTATTTAAAAGCTAACATGATTGATGGTTTGCGCAGATGCTTTTAAAAAGATTTGAATGTGAAACGAATGTACTGGAGGCAAATAGCAGATCTCAGACAATTGGATATTCTCTTGGAAATTCTGCTTGTTGTATAATTGTACCTGAAATCGTGAGCCATAGGTGTGGTTTTGAGACGTGGATAGATACACTTCCTATAGTTGATGAGACAAGTCTATTGCTGGATTTATTTTTGCTCCAAGATTTATCAGAAATCATTCTTGCTGATCCCAAAGAGTTACAATCGGTATGCCATTTTCTTTTTTTTTTTTTAAAAAACTTCCTATCTATAATAAACGTGCTGCCTAATATAATATATGTTTTTGCTATTTTCACGGATATGCTAATTATTGATTTTTTTTATGCAATTAGTGGATTTGTTTCACATTAATTCATTAGCTACCATTTTATAAAATATATACATACTTTTCTTAACTCAAACTCACTATGATTATTCTCCTAATAACATGTGCCGAAGAAAGCTAAGCCAGGTATTATGGGAGGGGGGATTATTATATGAATAACATTGTTTATGAAAGGTTGTTAAAAACAAGATCTTTGTAAATTTATGTAAAATTTGCAAATTGCAGCCAATTAAAGTTTGTATTTTGCAAATTGCAGCCATTTAAAAAAAAATTACAAATTGCAGCCCAAAAGTTCGTATAAATTGTAAATTGCAGTCTGATTCAACTTTTTCATCGGTTTACATGTCGAAAAATCTTCGGTTAAGGTTTTAGGGCCCGAAATGAAATCGGAATTAGCAAAAAATAACGTAAGTGCCTCGTTTTGCGTAACAAAAATGTATCGATTTGTGGGTATTGTAAAAATGAGACACTTACGTTAATTCTGAGCTCAATTCGGGTCCCTAAGGGCTAAAATGGCCTCTAAAACCTTAACCGAAGATTTTTCGATGTGTAAACCGATGAAAAAGTTGAATCGGGCTGCAATTTACAATTTATACTAACTTTTGGGCTGCAATTTGCAATTTTTTTTTTAAATGTCTGCAATTTGCAAAATACGAACTTTAAATGGCTGCAATTTGCAAATTTTCCTAAATTTATATGTTAGACTTTTTTATATGATAATGATGACAATAGTAGGGGTATTGCTTTTGTTTCTAATTTTTTAAATTAACGGTCAACTACTTATTAAGATAATGATGCCTTTTTGTCTCATTGTTCTTGTTACTCTTGCTTTGGGACAATCTTTCAGAGAAGTCCCAATTTATTCGCTCTACTTTAAAGATAAATTTAAGGAAAATAGTTTTTTATAAGTTCTTTCCGGGATTATTTGAGGATTTTGAAATATGTAGCAAGTAGTAAGAGTCGAAGGGAGTAAACTAGGCACTAAACAAAGAAAAGAGGTCTAAAAATTGAATTCGAAAAAGTTAATTTCCTTAGAAACCTATCAATCCTTTACTTAAAAATTCTCTCTAATAGGCCAATTAACTATGGTATTTGGGGTTATAATTCACAAAACCCAAGAATCTGTTCTAATGCAAGATTTTTGATGGAGTGTGGTCTTGCTTGCCCTCTCCTGTGGCTTGGGTCTCAATCAGGAAAACATATACTTCCTTTGTTCTTTTATTATTGCACCATAAGGGTTTGGCACATATTTTTTGATAGTGGAAAAAAGGATGAGAGAGAAAGGTAGAAATACCAAGTTGCCCATGTGGTTGTATGCACAAATAAAAGTAAGGGTTGAAAAGCAAAGGTATATTAGGTATTTATAGTGTGAACACATAAATTTCTTTTCCTAAAATGGATATGGTGCAATAAATGTGAAACTTCCTTAAAAGGTAAGTGGTGCAATATTAAAAAAACGGAGGAAGTATTTCAATTCATCCTTGTTGTTAGCTTGATGTTAAGGTGAATTAAGTTAGGATATTTTATGCAAACTTTTGTAACTCATTTGGAATTGTTAGGTTATTATGTTTCTTAGTCTTCTGTTGAGAGGTAAAAGGTCATTAAATACCAGTTGGTTTCCCCCCAACGCTGTGCATTTTAAATTTGAATCTCTTTGCAGCTTTTATCTGGATTGCGTGATGATATGCAAAATTCTTTGCGCTTCTCAATTAATTTCTCATCACGGACGCCCTTAGATTTTGTTCCTCATCAAGAAATGTTGTGGATAGTTGATGCATCAACGCCTACACCAGAAGGTCAAATGAATTCTACTCGTGTCACATTTCCTGTCACAAGTCTGGTGCTAATGTCTTAATTTTTATCTTTCTCTGTGTTGCAGTTGGCCATAAAATCATTAGTTCTGTTCTAGAAACTTGGTTTACATGGCATTCCGCCGTGTGGAATTTCCCCATAGTCTCTAAAAAGGTATTCTGTTATTTCTGTCTACTGAAAAGAGGTTTTGTTGTCCTACCTCGACTATTCTTTCTAGAAACTTGATCACGAAATATTCTTTCTTTTTTCAGGATCTTTATGGATCAAATGCTTATAAATTAATATTGCCTAATGTGCTTTTTAAGCCAGTGAAGACAGATACAGTACAAAATATGCTGTAAGAGTTTTTCTTTAATGGGATTTATTTCTTAACCTTCTTCTGTTGATTTCACGCTATATATTGTTTGCTGTGTTGATGTGTGTACTTTACTGGATTTTCTGCAGGCAAGCTGCATTTGTTATGAAGGATTATCATTTCCATTGCTTCAAGCTCAGGGTTAGCTCATCAAACATTTGGCATAGCATTGTGCCTAATACAGACTTGCAATATTCTCTTTTGTGTGGTGCTCGTAACTTGTTGCTGCAGGTATGCCACATATTTACCTTCTAATCATTTCCTTTGCGATTGTAGTGCATCTGCCTAAATTAATTGATCCTCTATTTTCAGATTATATCTTCCCATAGAAAGTCTTTCACTGCTGAAGACTTTTTGAAAATTAAATCAAGTCTCATGTTACTTCAAAGGAATAAGATCAAGGTAATGTCTTTCTTTATACTTTATGTAATAGCCTTCTGCTGACCTCTTTGTAGTTATACTGTAGAATTAATTAGTCTTAGTGCTCTTTTCTGCTGATTCAATGTGGGACACTCTTGGGACAGCCATTTCTAGTCATCTCCTCTCTGTATGGATTGGAAGAAAAAGAGAGGAGCTTGGATAGTGTGGGGCCTTCGGGCAGGGGAACTTTTGTTTAAAAGGTTGATTATTGGAATTGTTATTTGCTTGACAGATTACTGGCCAATAGAGTGTTTACCACCCCGGTTACCTGAGCTTCAATCTCCAGTCTTCAAAAATTACATTGAGCCTTCTGCCCTTTACTGATAGATCGTCCTACTTCATAGAATCAAAAGATAGCTGTCACATTAATGTTGATTATTTAATTAAATTTAATGACAGTTATTGAGACAAGTCTACAGTGTAGAAAGTTGGTAAACCACTTTTTCATCCAGTCAGTAGGGAATTATGTATTTTGTACCTATGTCTGATACTAATTTAGCTTTCCAAGTAAGTATTATAGGTGCAACGAGTAACAATATATATATATATGGTTGCCTAACCCTTTATTTATTGTTTTTATGCAGCCAAATGACATGGATAATCTGCTTTCACTTTTGGGTTTATCCAGACATCAGAAATTTGTTTCACTTGTGAAACCATTTATTGAACCACTGCTCAAAGACATTGATAATATACACTCCTTTGAGGGTACTGTTTGTCTCAATTTCTATATATATCTATATCTTTACTACAGTCTTAAAACACGAATTTTACAATGTTTTGTCTTCAGTATTGCTGTATCACATTTCCTGTGCCTGGTTAAGACTTGGAGCCCTGCGATTTCACCTTTTGCTTGCTTGCGATGAGCTGGATCCAGCTATTAAGTTTAGTTCCAAACATCAGAAGCTGGTGGATAAATGCCAATCACTTGAACTGGAAAGTGAGGTACTGTACTTCCCCTTTATTTCATGCTATTTTTTTTTTTTTTTTATATTTCATGCTATTTGCTCATCACTCTAGTGTTATCTTCTTATTCAATCATAAACAAGAACAATACACAGGATAATAGACTGTAGAATAAAAGTGCTGATATGACATCATTTTTCTTTTTTTAAACTCCTTATTTTTTAGATTGTACAAGTACTCTCTCCATTTTTTTTAGTTGGCATATTTTGACTTTAGCTCTATTCACACACTTTCCTTTGACCATGTTTTGTGATTTATACGTAATGAAAAATATAGTCACGTGGGATCTTGTTAGATTCATCATGGTATATATTTTCAAAATATCAACTTTTATAATTTTTACTAATTGGTAATTAAAGATATTAATGATTGAAATTGTGTATTGGCAAACGTGACTAGAGAAACATGTTTACTGCTTTCTTTATATTAAAGATATTAATGATTGAAATTGTACCAGTCTTAAATGCTCTCTTTATATTGAATGACTCTGAAGCTATTCTTGCAAGGATTTTCTGTTCTTTTATTGTGTTTACATTGATTTGAATAGCCAGAAGTCCAAACTTCATCTATTGGGATAGCCCCTTAGTTAAGCCCTGTTGCCCATGCTATTTTCTTGCAACATTATTGATTAAATTGAGAGACACAACCAGTTACAAGTGACTAACATTTACCAGTGTACTAATTTAGTCTTGAGTACGTTAGCAAAATCTAACGCGGGAATGGTTCTTCTCTCGTAGTATATTAATACTTCTGTAAAGTCCTCAAAGCATTTAGAAAAAAATGATTGTTAGTAGTATTGAGCTTATGCACCTATTCAGATCAAACTTTAAGCCTTTCAAAATTGAATGCCTTTCATTTGAAAATTTCAGGTCAGACATCAATGTCATTATCAGGCGGGATCGTTTTCAACAAGAAATTCTGATGATGAAAGAGCAAAATTGTTGAAAAAACATGAGACTGAGTGTAAAAGGTTGCAAAGAAAGGTACTGTTTAAAAGCTAAAATGCAAAGTGTCATTGCAATGTTGCATGGTATAATACTGTTATTAAAGAAAAAGATTAAATACTGTACCATTGATTTCAAAAGATTTTTCTTCCTTTTAGTGTGCTTATTTGGCGTCTGCTTACTGAGTTTGTGGAGTTCTTTGCCAGTTTATGCAAAAAAAGTATATGGTCATATGATGTCAAGGACTTGGCTTGATGGTTTCTTCGAATTAATGTAGTACTTATATCCTTTGTTAAAGTTGCAATTTGTTCATGTCATCAAGCTACTATGTTTTGGAATTTGGGAGTACATGGAAGCCTGAAATCTAGTTTTTATGTTGTGTATTTTAACCTAATGGTTTATAAAGGTTTAAATTCCCGTTTCAGATTGTATACCGTTCAGATCCTGGAAAATTCATCAAATTAAAGGATGAGTGTGTTGAGTTCTCTGAGAATGTTAACTCAGGATTGAAGCTTTTGGAGCAGTCTAGGAAAATTACCAACCTGTCTTATCTTATCAACCAAGCTAGCAACTGGCAGGTACATTTTTATTTGCTCTTTCTAAAATTGATTTATTCCTTCTGTGCTCATGTTCATGCCTGCAAGAAAGAAAAAAAAAAATTGAAAAAAAAAAAAAGAAACTTGTAGGACGAGAAATATTGGTGCAGATAGTACATTTTTTTTTATTATTATAATCAAAGGGAGTGGGAAAGCTGCACTAAGATTAAGTATTCTTAATTTTTATGCATCTTGCAATCAACTACTTATTATTCTTGGTATTTATTGAATTATCAGTTACCAACTAACAGGTTAATTTTGATATAACATTTTACAATTCCTTTGTTCTTTAAGTATCACATCTATTACATCCTTTCTCTTGAAGACTTATAATACATTGCAAATATCCAATATACGTATGCTGGCCTCTTATATAATATGCATGGGTTTTAAGTGATTCACATGATTTTTGTGGTCCCTCTCATCTTTTATCCCCTTTCTTAAGTTCGTTGCCCCCCCCCCCATTTTTGTAATATCTTTGAGCTATTAAGAATTTTTCATATTCGACTCACCTTTGCCTATTATTTAATAACGTATGGCTTGAATATCTAAGATGCCCCTCTAGTACTTTGAGCTATTAAATTCAAGCATTTTGTATTATAATCATACCAAAATCATGCTTAAAGTATCCCTATCTTAACTTAGCTGAAATGCGAGTTATATCCAGCTTTTCCAATGGAATTATGATTAATTGTATCATTACTTGTATATCAGGGCGTGTTTGATTTGGAAACTATAATTCATAAGTTGATTTTAGTTATAGTGTCTAATACATTAGATGGCTTTGTTGTAATATATTTTTCAGTTTTCTGCAGGATATGGTAAGAAACTTTCTTTGCCTCATACCTTGTTTAGTTGATAATGTTGTTCTTCCATCTATATTATAGGCTTTTGTTTCTGTAACATAGTCAGCTGTTACTTGGCACCTTGTTGCACAAGCTATAATGGCACTTTAGCCCTTGCTTTTAATATCGCTAAGACTGCTGTGATGTATCTGATGATTTAAGCAGCATTTGTACTATACTATTCTGTCTTTTAAAAATAAAAAAAATAAATAAATAAATAAAATTGGCATTCATCTTATAACTGCCTTTTTAGCCCACCTTTACTTGTAACCTCATTTGATTGTGGTGTCTATCATCCCAAAGGGAATCTCTTTAAAACGGAACCTAGTTGTTTGACCTAGCAATGTTTTTACATTCAGGCTACTGCAAGCTGCTTTATCGATCGCTTATCAGAGGAGTATAACAGTTATGTCGATATTATTCAGCCAATTCAAGTTGCAATTTATGAAATGAAATTGGGTTTGGCACTGCTCTTGTCAAGTACCCTTCAGGCAGATTTTCTTGGTAGAATGCAAGAAAGCAAAATTGATCCCATTCTGGTATTAGACAATTCCCTTTGATATTGTTCATTTTTTTTACATTGTTACTTCACCTCTAACTAATAGAAAAAATGTACTCAGGATGCAATTTATTCAATCATGAGATTTCCTCATGGACATCCTTTTGAGAGACAAGTCCAGATAAACTATGGTACACCTGAGTTCCCCTTTTACACTGTTGATTTTTCAGCATGCACTAGGAAAGAAAAGGTGGATTTATTGAAAAAGGTTATTAAATCAACTGAACGAGATGGAGGAAAGGTTTGTGTTTCTAGTAACTCTAGCATCATGAGTTCTTGATAAAAGTTATGGTTTTAATTATTTCTTTTGACATATATCAGGTTACATCTTTCCGATTGGAAGCTTCTCTTTTGGATAACATGCTAGGGCATGTTGTGAAACTTGTCAGTAGCACTAAGATGCTGGATGCTGCATCTTTTGCGGTGAGGATTTGCCTTTAAATTTAATGGTTGTGATTAATTCAAATGGAGAACTCATTTCTTTCAATGTACTTCGTTGAATCAGATTGTTGATACGATATCTGACTTCTTTACGAGATTGTGGAGCAATGCCAAAGTTCAAGAGAAAACTGAGAAGGACAATGAAACACAGCTGTACAAGTTCAGGCCACGCCCCTTTAAGCTAGATAATGTATATGAGATTGATTTATCATCTCTGAACAATTCATTTTCGGGCGATAGCTTCACTGAATGGAAGGAGGAGTTGTTACATGAAGAAGAGAATACCATATCTCCTGAAGGGGTAAATCCTTCAACTTTTTCCACATTATTTTTTATTTTTCATGTGCTCGGAATTTGAACAAAACTCCTGATTGTGCAGAAAGATGCTATTGATCAGTTTGAAAGCTCTGGAGATTGGAATCTTATTCCAGAATCCATACTCAACACCATGGTGAATGTGCATGATCAGCTATTTGGATCAAACAATCTTATTGAAACTGTATGTTCTTGAACATATTAATTTTATCGTTTTTCTTCTTTCCCTTGGTTTTTTTTGTGTCCAGCATTGTCAGAAGGGTTTGCTGCTGTTGATGTTGGATTGATATTGTGTCTTTCTCCTTGCTACCAAGTTTTTTGTAGTTAATTGTTAGCATTAGATATAAAACTATCATATCATTAGTCATAAATTTATTCTCCTTTTGATTGATTTGTCATATTTTCTATTTTATGATATTCCATGTTCTGTCTTATAATATATTTTTTATGTTTCTTAAACTTCTTATTTAATGCTAGCCACTTACTTTTCCGTTCTTGCAGATGGGTATTGTCCAGATGTCTAATGCAGACAAGCTGAATGTTTTTGTTAAATCTTATACTCTTGGATCAACATTACTAAAAGGTAAGAATTGCAAATATCAAAGCAATTTTAACATGATCTGTCAAGGTTTCATGTAAAAATCATTTACTGGTTGACTAAATTATTGTCTAGATTTTACGGGAACATCTGTTTCCTTTTTGGATGCTAAACTTGTTGGGGAGCATATGCTTCGCCTCTGTCTCGAGCATGAACATATGCAGCCTTTATCCAATGTGACAGTTGTTTCACGGAATTTTTACAAGGTATTGAATCCTACTTTCCTACACATCATTCCGACTGTTAATCCATTGTTACAATCTACAATGAACATAACATCATTTTTCAACTAGGATCCAAATCCTGCTGTCGTAGCGAGCATGGTGGAGTTGATCAATGCTCTTAGGAAGAAAGTTCTCTCTTTGTTAGAGCTGCGAGATGAGCATCCAGGACTGCAAAAGATCCTCGATATTATTGATATGCTATTGGGTCTTCCTCCGAGCACCTCTGTTGCTCAGGTATTTAGACTTATTTTTCATAGGTTCTGGATGTTGTGCTTTGAAGTAGAAACTTAATGCAGGTGAGGTATCAATGTTGATAGATATTGGAATAATAACAATTTTGATTAAAAGACCTTTCATTGAACTCTGGATTGATATATCTATGTTATTTAAACGTGGCATTTTCTTCACCGTACTGGTGTAAAATCGATCCAGGTATGAATTACAGGTCAAACATGCCACTTTGCATTTTGATACGGCTAGATATGGAAGCAGAGAAAATGTCAAAGAGCCAAAAAAAAAAAACAATCGCTTACTTTGTTGTACACCATCAAATTATAAGATCTAGGGTTTGAGTAGTCAATCCTTGATCTGGTAATGAAATGGGAAGCATATGAGTTTATTTTTGAGATGTTGGGATTAGTGCGCCTGCGGTAAAGCGGGGTATTAGGGTGGCTGAAGTGTGAAAGATGGTTCAAAATAGAGGGGAAGATAGTGGAATTTGAAAAGTTGGAACTCCAGCTCCATGAATAGAGCGCAGTTAAATATAACTACATGAATAGAGCGCAGCTAAATATCACTACATTTTGGTAGATAAATTGTATTAGAGTTATAAGGGAATGTGTAAAAAAGAGTGTCCCTATATCCAAATATATCAGAATTACTATGGTGAACATTCAGATCTGCACTTAGAGTTTGGCATGCCTTCTGCTGATTATTTCCTTTAAACAGTTTGAAAGAGTTTATTGCTTTTGCTTATCTTTTTTTTTTTTTTTTCTTCTTGTATCTTCTTAAGGCTTTATCAGGCATGCAATTTTTGGTTAGCCGAGTGATATTACTGCAGGAAAATGGTGCAAAATTCCCTCTTGCTGGTGAGGCACATGGCTTTTTCATGAGCAAGATCACTAATTACTTTTCATTTATAATTTGGATCATTTACTTTATTCTGGTTTTGCTGTGATAGATGAGCTAGAACCTATTGTTGCTCTTATTTCGTCCTTTCAAAAGATGGAGTTCAATGTGTGGAAAACCATGTTGGATGATGTTCTTATTCAATTTGAGATGAATGCTGTGAAGGTAATTGTCTGGTTTTTTTATTTATTATTTTTTAAAAAATCTTAAAGATAATTTCTTTGGTTTCAAGATTTTAAATTGTTAGTATGCATGTTGATGATCTTATATTAGTCTTCTTCAGAATCTTGTCAGTAGAATCTTGGTGATATTCTTGGGCTTTGAAACTGATGAGCATTGAATATTCTTATTTCTCAGACTACAGTTCTGTTCTGGCTTATCCTCATTTAATTTATGACACTCCCTAGTACATGTATATGGCTAGTGCTAGCTTAGATCTTATTCACCTGAGCCAAGAAGTAAGACCAAGATGGGTGACCAAATGAATCATGTATAGGCCAAGTATCAGAGGGATCCAGTTGTTTTATTATAGTGTCTTAGTAGATAGGTAATTTATGTATTGTAAACTTTGATGTCATCAAGCTGTTTGGCTACATTTTAAGATAGTATCAGTATCATATACGCTTTTGCCCCTCTATTTTCTATTAATGCAAGGCATATTGATGAGTTTTTTATTTTTTTGATGCAGTTATGGTTTCCACTTTACTTGGTTCTGCATCGAGAAAGCACTACAGATATTGCTGAATATACTCAATTCACCCTGCAAAGGCATGTCATTTGCAATCGTAGTGGTTATTAATTGGCTAAATTTTGTGTGACTGAAATCATTGCTGAATTACAACATCCTATCAATTTCACTAATTACAATCTCAAAAAGTTGCTTATATAGCCCCTTCTTAGGAATTGAAATACAATGCAATTGTTATTTCCACAATGTGCAACTCCAGATGAAGCAACTACTGATTCAAATGTTGTCTGACATGTCCCTGCAGCTTAGAGGAGTTTATTCGAACATCTAGTGTTGGTGAATTTAAAAGACGTCTGCAACTCATGCTTTCCTTTTATGGGCAACTTAATTATGGCATATGCCTGGGATCCTATGCTAGGTATTTACTCTCTGCGCTTTGTGATCCCCTGTATAATTTTTTATGTTGTTTTTATTTTTCATTTTTTTTTAAATTTACGGTCAAGTGAAGTTTAAATATAATATTTTTGCCTCAATTAATATCCTTTTTTTTCATTTCTGCAAAGGTTTTTTTGGTTACTGCTTGGTTTTTTGCCTCTGAGTAATTATATGCGCTGCAATTATCTATATAATCCTTGATAAATTGTTATGACCTGTAACGTGATCGTTATGCTTGTCTGCCAGTGTCCATTTCATCTATGTTTTGCATCTGTTGGCAGACTTCATATTGTACTTGTCCCCAAAGAACAACTCTGCTACAAATTTCGATTGTGTTTTTCTTTTCTTTTTTTTTTTTTTTTTTGCAATTTTAGCCCATTCAAAGAATAAAATTATCAGTAACTACTGATTCTTCCCTTTAACCCTCTTTGCTGTTGTTGAATGAAAATACAAAAGCATCATATGTGTTATCAACATGTGACCTGATGCTGGCTTTTCTGACTACCTCCAATTTTACAACTAACTTATTAAATCGTTGCCTTTCAAGTTCATGTCATAATGCTATATGAACACACTTCATTTAAATGTGCAGTTATACACAGAAGGAAAATCGAGATGTCTTATACAATGTTTTTGGTTTCTATATGCAATCACTGCCAGTGTAAGTCTTTACACATAATAGTAATTTCTTGTTTCTGCTGAATCCCTCTTATATAATATTCTCTAATCTATGTTGATGATGGATAATGATATTAATATCTGTTTCTATAGGGTTATGAATCACATTGCCTCTAGCACTAAGAACATAAAAAGAGAGTTGGAAGAACTTTTAAAGCTCTGCCAATGGGATCGTCCTGAAAAGCTTGTGTCCCTTGAAATCTCAAAAAGAAATCGTCAAAAGCTGAAAAAACTCATACAAAAGTACACTGTAAGTAATTTCTTTACTTGTGCAGTTGTGTACCTAAACATCATTGACATTTCTGGAACAAGTCAAATCTGTAGAAGTTTTCTGATTTTCTTGTTGAAAGGTTTGGTAGTTGTTGTTCCTCTTAGTCTGCTGATAGTGTATGTGTTGCATGTGTAATAATCCAATCAATAAATTTTCTGCTGAAACTGAATTTAATTTGGCGTGATCCAAGTAGTTCCATACTCTTTATCTGAAAGCAATATTTAATTTGGTATGTGTTGTTGTTCCACTAATGGTTATATGTCTAAACCTATAAGTAAATATCTCTTTCCATACTCTTTATCTGAAAGCAATATTTGTATCCTTGTGTATTTGTAAATCATAAACTAGTGCTGTTCTATCGAAGTCATACTCATAGCTGTTCCATACATGCATGAATATAATAAATGAATGGAATTTGATTCGTAATCTGTTTGAGGGTGTAATTAGGAGAGCATGATAAGGTGTATATGTTTATGGTAAATAGAGGACAACAAAGTAAGACAAACCAAAATAAGACCATTGACATATCAATGGGATGGTGGAAGTAGCTTTAAAGGCTCTAATAATGTAAAAGGATTACTGTGTGAGGTATATTAAAATCCCAATTTGACTTTCTGACCAATAGAACCACTGAGACTTTCTTGCTTGTCCAATGGATGATCAAGTAGCTCATAAAATGCGCTGCTGAAGAGGATTATTACTCAAACTATGCTCTCCCTCTATTTCTTGTTGCTATTACATGACTCTAAAGTGGAGTGAATAAGTAGAAAGAAATTAACAGGTGGGTATTTACTGCTGATGTTGGCTTCTATTTATAGGAAAAATAGAGAGAAAAGGCTTCCTAAATGGATATGTAGCAAGTATTTTTTATTTGAGGAAGCAAGTTACATACCCCTTCTAGCTTACTGTTGAATTATTTTCGTTGTTCTTTCCTTTTCTGAATAGTTTTTATATCATTCACCTCTGATTCATGTTGATGCAGGATGCACTCCAGCAGCCAGTTATGCTTGTCCTTACTCAGGAATCTGAAGGTTTGAAATCCCAGAAGTTTGACCACTCACCTGACAAGGATCAAGAACTTTCTTTATTTGATATATCTCATTTTGATTACAGGTAAATTGTCTTATCTCTAGGTTCTTTTTTATATCAACATATGCTTATTTCTTACATATTTTATTCTGTACAGGACAACTTGGTATGAAGACTGGAAGACTAAAGCTGATGATGCCTTACAGTACTTTCATGGTGAAAGAAAATTAAATATTCATACGTCACGTGATGGTACTGAAAGATTTCCTTGCCTATCAAATTAAATATTTAATTCATTGATATTCTTGATTTCGTTATTAATTGTGGTGGCAGAGGGTCATATCAAGTGCAAAATATCAGGGGACCAAACTTTGTGGAACCCTTTTCTAAGCTCCTTTTATGAGCCTAAGCTTACACTTTGTGAGTTTGGTTTAGTCCTGTGTGACCCTCTCGCACTCAATAAGTGGCTCTTTCTATAAGGATCTCCTTCCTGCCTTGGTAACATGATCACCCTGGGAATTAATTTTCCAAAAACTAATTAAAATCGTTCTATTATGCAGTGGATGCCAACAATGCTGAGTACCATTCTGCTTTGAAGTCTCCTGGTCTTGCTTACAAGGAAGAATGGATTGAAGTCTGGCATAATCTAGAAATAATATGTAGAGCTGTGTCCGAAAGTGCAGATATGTGGAAAAATGAAGGGAAATCTCAAGTAAAGATGAGGGCTTTTTCAGATCTTCTGAAGCTTTTGGAGAGTCATGGACTATCAAAGCACAAATCTAACCTTCAGAAGCTTTTGGAGAACAGTCCATTGTTCACTGCAAAGTATGCCTTAATAGATGTAAGAACCTTTTAATCTCGTTCTGTGTCCTGGGTTTAAATTTTTTCTTCATTTTCTTTTTGGCTACTCTGCTGTCCCATTATATTTGTCATTTGTATATCCCAAAGGTTGCCCTAACATCAAGAATTTACTCTTATGTTGTATTGGATTTAAATTTGAAAATACAATGACTAATCAACTGTATGTGGATCATCTCCTAAAAAAGTTTGATTACCCAAAATGAACAGAAATATTGGGATGGAAGGAGTGCTGATTTCTCGGATCAAGTATCTTAGCTTGCATAATGTACTGACAACTTGAAAATTGCAGGAAAAGTTTAAACAGGGAGAATCAAATTGGTGGTTTTTTCTTCCGTCCTATGATGTACAACATTTGTTGCTGAAGTATGACAGTTTGTCTTTCAAGGAAGTTGATCTCAATGCCTCAAACCTCATTAAAAATTCAAACCACATTAGTGTAGAAGACAAGTGGAGGTGTGCTAATCAATACTACTTCAAAAGTTTGGCTTCAGTGAGACATGTGCAGCAGATATCTCTTAGCTTTCACAAAGATTTTAATCCGGATCAGGTAAATCTCATGCAACAATCAATAGGACGGATCTTTGATCTGATTTAATTTGTGATGTAATGATCCCAACCGTATCTTCATTGTATGTGGCCTCTGTGGCTGTTTGAGGAACAAGTAATAGATACTGAAAGAACAGGACAACTTCTTCCAAGTTGATGTTGGACCACATTCTAGAGCTATTTCCTGCTTGAATAATCAGAAGAAATCTAAACACAGAAGTATGGAGGTTTCGGTTGTAAGAAAATTCATGAAAAACCTTGTCAATGAAGACTTTACCTTCTTCAGCTGTCAAATTTTTTGGATCAACTGAAGTATAAGACAACCTTTGAAACAAATTTGAAAATAGTATCTTGTTAACTTGTTTTAGACTTTACCTTCTTCAGCTGTCATAATTTTTTGGATCAACTAAAGTTTGAGACAACCTTTAAACAAATTCGAAAATAGTATCTTGTTAACCTGTTTTAAGCCATGCTTCACAGTTCACACACTATATGGAAAACACAGCATGGACACACTCATCACTTCAATTTAATTACCTGGATATGCATCTAAAATTTTTATATGATGTCTCAAGTAGGTTAATCGGTGTAATAGCTTCCTTGAACACCTTGTAATGATACAAATGGAGCAACGTGCTGCTGCTTATGATCTGCGTAGCCAATTGCAACACTTGAGGAGAAGCGTACAATGCTTGAAAAAATTGTGTTTGGTTTGTCATTCTATTGCTGAAGGACGTACTGACGAAGTCAATGTTTTAGCTAGTCAACAAGTTCTCTTTAGATGCTTGTGGCAGCAAAAGGTAAGATTTTATGCCCCTAGAGTCTTGGTGGTTGGTACATGGTACTTAGTTTATCTAGTTATGTTTCATCAAACCTACATTTCCTTCATCTAATCATCTGTAATGTAAACATAATGCAGGAACTTTTTGATACATTTTGTTCTATGCTGGGAGAAGAATCCTTGATGCTAAAAACAGTTAAAGATACCCATATGAGTGGCTGTCAAAGCATTAAAGATGCAGCAAATGGCATTCTTTTGCTCATTGAGGAATTCAGTCCGGCATTTGAGAAATCTAAAGTAGGCATTTGGAACTTATCCATCTCTTCTGCTCTCCCTCTTCCTTATCTTCATTCTTTCAAATTAATCAGAATTAGTTTTGTATATAGGGTATTTATGGTGTGTGTCATTGTGATTTCTGACAGGTATTGCTGGATAATGAACTTCTTGGTGATGATAATTCTGCAATTAAAGCATCAAATTCAATGTACCCTATTGTGGCTGGCAAAGATATGGAAGAGTTGGTCAAAAAGAATTTTCAGCTCATAAGGGAGTTTCAAGAACATGTTCTTGATTTACGCGTGCGAGTTAACAAGAAATCAATTGAAGATGTTCTACTTGGTCATTTTTCAGAGATAATTGAAAAGGTAAGTGATTTTTCTTACAACATGCTGGCCTGGTCTTTGCTGTCAGCCACCTTCCCTTTCATACTTTGTAGAGCAAAATGAGAGACAAGGGGAAAAAAATGGATGGAAGGAGACCATTATTGTGTGATGGAGTTATGTCCATTTGTTTTGGAGGGAATTATCACAAATCAAAGTTTCCCTTCAATTTTTTGTTAGAATTTATGAAGTGTTTTATTTGTTATTTTTACGTTAGAGATGGGGAAGGGGACATCATGATTGTGATCCAAATCCCTATGGTAATTTTGTTACAAAATTATATCATTGATCATTTGATCTTGATTAAAAATTTTGTGTTCTACTGTTTTGAATTGAATGAACTAATTGCTGTGGGAAGCTTATATAATCTGTTTGGAATTGCAGGGAAAAAATGTGGAAAATGAGTTTTATTCTGCGAAAGAATGTGACCAACCTTTAACTTTTGCTGAAGATCTTACTGGTCTGGAAGCTGGAATAAATGCATCACTCAGTGATATGTTTAGACATATTGGCAGTGCACTTAAAGAACTAGGATCCTGGAGTGACAGGGATGCATCTGATGAAGTTTTATTGATGAAGATCACATCGTGGAAACCTTTGTTTGATTCTTTTGTAGCAAACTTCCGGCTGGATCTTATTAGTCAGAGTCTTGATAAATTAATTTCTTACACTGTAAGCTTTGTAATTCTGGTATTTTAGGAATGATAATATTGTTAAATTAATCATATTCAAATCTTATTTTTTCTCTGTAGGGAAAAATACCAAGTATTTCAGATTTATCTTCTGAAACTGGTCTGCAATTTGAACATCTTAAGGAATTGCTGGTTCTGATATTGACTTTTAGTGATGGTCTTTTGCTTGATTTTTTGGCTGTCCACGAGATGGTTAGCTACTCTAAAGTCTCTAATTCTTGTTTTTCATCCTATTGGTACTGATGTGTGTTGGTCAAAACATCTGAATTACTGACTGACTTGAACTGCATTTGCAGATATCCGTTTTGACTCATAGGCTTGCAGAGATATTTGCTTCATTGTTTTCTGAAGGCTATGGTGTACGCACTGAAGACATAGTTGATGATACCCTTGGTGACAAGACTCAAGATGCTAGTGGGACTGGCATGGGAGAAGGAACAATAGGAGTGAAAGACGTGAGCAATGAAATAACTGATGAAGATCAGCTCCTTGGGGCCTCTGGAGAGGTGTGTATTGCTTTGGTAGCTGTTAATTCATTTGTGCTTATTTTATCTGTGGGACTTATTTATAATTTCCCTATTTCTTCATCTCTAAATTGTTCAATTTATTTTTGCAGAAAGAAGAGCCAAATGCATTAAATGAATTACCAAACGATAAAGATGAAGGAATTGAGATGAAGAATGATTTTGATGCTCCTGACTTCAATTTGAGTGAGGATACTGGCGATGAGGATAACGATGATGACAATGGAGAAGATGAGGATGAGCAGTTAGATAGTGCCATGGGGAATACTGGGGACGATAGTGAAGTAGTAGATGAAAAGCTTTGTGACAAGGAAGAAGATCAAAATCTTGATAATACAAATGAGAAACATGAGCCAGGACCTTCAGTGAAAGACAGAGATCTCGATAACCGGGAGCTAAGAGCTAAAGATGATGCTGCTGCTACAATAGATGAACCCACAGAAGGAGACAATGATGCAACTGATGAAAATGGTAACGCGGATACTAGTAAAGATGGCACTGATGACATGGATAATCCAGATTCAATGAATGTTGACCAAGAAGAGGCTAATGCCGACACCACTGACATTGATCTCCATGAGCCAAATCCAACTTCTGTTGATGAGACTGAGAACATGGAAGTAGACCAGGACAATACTATGGAAGAAGATACACCTGATGTGGGGGACAATGATATGGATAATGGAGACCCTGGGGATAACACTGACCCTGAAGATGATACTGTAGCTAAGGCAGAGTCTAACATGTTAAGTGAAGAAGCTGAAGATGATTCACAGAACAAAGATGACAAGGATGGCAATATGGATCTGACAGCGCCTAATAAAGACATCAGTGAGCAGGGAAATTCAGACTTATTAAGCGATCATATTCCTAACACACAGCCCATGTCACAGACAATGAGTGAAATGCAAAAGGCAGAAACTATAAGTACAGCACCTGAAATGCAGTGCTCTATGAGCACTGATACTCAGAATGACCTTGCCTCATCAGAAAACTCCAACCAGGTGGAAATGCTGTTTGGAAACTCATCAAAGGGTAAACTATCCAATGATCAACCACAGTCCATGCCACAGCAAGATCTGTCATCCTTCCAGAAAAATCAGCCAAACCCACTGCGCAACTTTGGGGATGCTCTTCAAGACTGGAAAGATAGAGTGAAGGTTTCTGCTGATGTTCCACAAAGAGATGAGGAGACAGTTGACGAAATGGATGATCAGGAAGTGGATGAATTTGGGTTTACATCTGAATTTGATCAGGGAACTGCTCAGGCACTAGGGTCTGCAATGCCTGATCAGATGGAGCATAATATTGGCCATGACAAGCCTGATGGAGATGGGTGCACTGCTCAGGAGAATGAACCTGACGAGCTCTGTGATGATGATTCTAATACTGAGGCCATCCACAGTCGTCCAATTTCTACTAGCAGGGTTGACGAAAAGATCAATATATCTGATTCACATGATGAGTTGCCTGTAGAAGATGTTCAAGAAGCTAAGAGAAAGATCGATGGCAGTCCAGGAAAATCTGTGGAGAGTTTAGTTTCAGTAAGAAAGTCTTACATGACCCAGGACATGAACCAGCTAAGTGAACTTTCAACAAGTGGTGATGAACCAGGGAAAGTGCAGAATCTTGCTCAGCAACTTGGTGAGATGAATATGAATGCTGGTGCTCTTTGGAGAAAGTACGAGCTCCGCACAATGAGGCTGTCTCAGGAGTTGGCCGAGCAGCTACGTCTAGTCATGGAACCTACACTGGCTAGCAAGCTTCAAGGGGATTACAGGACTGGCAAAAGGATCAATATGAAGAAAGTAAGCAATTGAAACTTCAAATCTTTCCCTCGTCTTTTTCATGTTATTTTCATTCAAACTCATCATATTCTTCCCTGTTGAACTGCAGGTAATTCCATATATTGCTAGCCACTACCGGAAAGATAAGATATGGTTGAGGCGTACCAAACCCAATAAACGTGATTACCAAGTTGTGATCGTGGTGGATGATTCTCGTAGTATGTCTGAAAATTGCTGTGGTGATTTTGCCGTTGAAGCTTTGGTCACTGTGTGTCGTGCCTTGTCTCAGCTTGAGGTGGGGAAATTAGCTGTTACAAGCTTTGGAAAGGAAGGAAACATCAGGTTACTACATGACTTTGATCAGCCCTTAACTGGGGAAGCTGGAATGAAGGTCAGTTCAATACTTTATGTTTCTTTATCTTTCCGAAAACCATCTTCAACCCGAAATTTAATCTTCTCTTATGAACTTTGATTCAAACAGATGATCTCAAGCCTGACATTTAATCAAGAGAATACTTTAAGAGAGGAGCCTATGGTTGAACTCCTTAAATATCTGAACAATATGTTAGAACAGGCTGTGGCTAATGCAAGACTGCCTTCTGGACAGAACCCGTTGCAACAGCTTGTTTTGATCATTGCTGATGGTCGGTTTCATGACAACAAGGAAAAGGTGAAGAGGTTCATGAGAGACCTGTTGCAGAGAAACTGTCTGGTGGCATTTATAGTTTTGGATAGTGCTCAAGAATCTATAGTTGACTGCAAGGTATTTTTCCCTTATACAACTCGCTGCATTTAGTCATGCAGGCCTAGCATCTAAAAAATTAATTCAAATTTGGGGATTTATGGATTACTGAAAATCCTTAGGCCTATGCAGAATGGGTTTATAAATGTTATCTGATCTTTTTTTTTTTTTTTTTTTCCAATCAAGGATTATATATTCAAGAATGGGTTACTTCAGAAAGCTGTTCCATATCTAGACTCTTTTCCGTTCCCATACTACATTGTGTTGAGAAATATTGAAATGCTCCCCAGAACACTAGCTGATCTATTGAGACAGGTACTCTCTTTGAACTTTTACTAAAATTGTCCAACCCTTAGCCTCTTACTCCATGTATCCTATACTAACACCTGGTTTTGGTACAGTGGCTCGAGCTGGTGCAACAATCAAGAGACTAGCTGAAATGTATGCTTTTCGTCATGGGATTGTATCAGTCTTGAAACACTATTATTATCTGTTGTGCTGCAATATGCGCTAGAAAGGCAGCTTGTATATAGGTACATTAAGAAAAGTTTTGAGAGAGAAAAGTACATTACTACATTTGCCATTTGCTTATTATACAAAAGAATAGGTTTAGAAAGGCTGATACATGACCGGAAAAACATCATATACGAGAATGTATATAGGAAAGAGAGACTATCATGTAATCTTGACAGTTTTGTAATATGCTCATTCAATGCATCAAGCTGGTTTCTCTAATGCCCTTATCTTCTCCGTTTTACACGGACTTGGGATTATAATTAAATTGGAGTTGCTTCATTCATAGTCGAACCATCTGGTTTCCAACATGGGGTTCTCTCTCTTCTTTTTTCTTTTTTCTTTTTTTTTTTTTTTTGTTAAATTTGGAAAGTATTCTTGTATTTTGGCATGTCAACATCATCTAAGCTAAGGTTGTTAAAGATAGTATACTAGCAGTCTAGCACACACTGTTGGAACATTTATAGATAAATGTGCTTATGAGTTCATATATGAGGTTTATATTATGCAAGGTGTTGAGGAGGATAAGTATAATGATTATACTTAGAGAGTTAGAGGTATGGCAAGGCAAGATGTATTAAAGTGACAATACAAGGCAAAATTGACTAATTTGTGCTTCGCCCTGGCTGCCAGGGCACGATGCCCTGTAGAGCGAGCACGAGTAAGATAGTCAATTGTCTCAATTTCATTGAGATGTTGCTCGCGCCCGGTAGGGCGCCCTTGCCGGGTCTGCCAGGGCAAGGTTCAAAACTGACGGTTTTTTACAGTTTTGTACATATTGCTTTGTGAACGGACACATCCGTTGGATATTAACTACTCTTCAAATAAACTCTATAAATAGGAGTTTATATGACATATATGGATATAGGATGAGAAAAGAGATTATCATTTAACTTGCTTCTTTTGAGAGAACTTATCTATAGTATTTTCTCTTAATTGGTTTTACAAACACTTATTCACAAACTTCTTGTAGATTGATTTTGATAAACAACCAAAATCAATTGTGTCTTCTTTGTATCCCAATTGTTATATCGTGTTAACCCTGTTGTTTCGTAGAGGGTCTATAATAAAGTATTAGGAAAGCGGCTATGATACGTGCCTAGAAGAAATATCCGGTCCCTCTTGTTCATTCCTCCAAATTTTGTTCTAACACACACAAGATAGTCCTTAACTGTATTAACATGTTAACTTTAAAAAGTGAAAATTTTTATGGTGTCTAATACTCTTAAGCTAGATCATGAATTATTATTACTCCCTACGTCTCTAAAGATTCACCATTATTAATTTATTACGTTGTTGACTTTTTTAATAGTGTTGACTTTTTTAATGGTGTTGACTTTTTATTTAGTGGAGTTAATAAGAGACAAAAGTGATGGTGTCGAAAGTATTTTATATGAGAGTAAAAAGGGTGTTCCTCATTATCTAAGAAAGTGGCCATCTTTTGAGGACAACCATTTTTGGTATATGGGACAAACATTTAAGATCGAAAAGTGTAATTGTTTTGTTGAGACTTAATGTCATAGATCAATTCCCTGCAACTCTTAGTTTTTGAAGGTTGTCCAGTGAATAAACAATGGTTTGTACAATTTCAAAAGTTGACCATGATTAGGCTGGCATTCATTAAGCATTGCTCATTGTAAAACATCAATCATTGGTTAGCATATGCACCAAACTTGAATTGGATTAAGAATATATCTTATGATTTGGTTCCTACGTTATTAGACCATGTCCATATTATAAAGTCAAACCAATCCATATTACTAAAGAAAAAATTGTTACTTATACAAGTAAGAAAAAACCAACTTTATTCAGAGAGAAAAAGAGATGGAAATGGAGAAGAGGTTGTATGAAGCTGCTCTTGAAGGAAATGTTTCAAGCTTGAAAACAATAATCAAAGAAGACCCTTTAATTCTTGATAGAATATCTTCAACCTTCTATCAAGATACTCCTCTACACATTGCAATCCTACGAGGATACCTCGAGTTTGCAAAGGCGGTACTTAGTTACAACCCTAGGCTTGCCACCGAGAGTGACTTGCTCGGCCACTTGCCCCTCCACGTCGCTTCCACCAAAGGACATACGGAGATCATCCATGAGCTGGTACGTGTTAGTCCGAGTTCTTGCCTAGCTCGTACCAAGGATGGGAAGTTGCCCCTTCACTTGGCTATAAGTAAAGGCGTTCGAGTTGAGGTGGTAAGGGAGTTGGCTCAAGCATGTCCTGAGTCAATGCAATCAAGAGTGGATAGAGGAGATACTGTTTTGCACTTGTGTGTTAAGTTTGAAAACTTGGATGCTTTTCAAGTAATATTGGAGTTGTTGAATGGTGAAAAAGATGGTAACAACTTATTGAATGTAAGAAATGATGATGGCAATACTATCTTACATTTAGCTGCTCTTCAAAGGCATTTGGAGGTATTTCTCTCCCTTAATTCCTGGTTTTCTGTTAATAATCCGAGTAATAATAATAATAATCGTCTATTCTTTTTTAAGAAAATGTCTTAATTAATTTTTCCAATATTATAAATTTCAACTTTATACTTAATCAAATTTCATGAAGATAGATGCTTATTGATCTTAAATTATGGATGTTGATAAAGTACAAAATTGGAACAAATCTGACAAATTGATTTCGTTGACCAGACTGCCAAGTGACCTTTAAATCTTTAATCATAAATATGTCAAAATACATTTCTAAATTAATTTGACTTGTATCCATATCACAAATAGTTTTACAAGTCTCGTTACAGTTCAATAATATAAATTAATGGTCAAAGTTATCATAGTTCGACTATGAATGTAACGTTGTTGTGGCCTATTATATAGAAATTTAAGAGAATATAAAGCTTTGTAGCTCTTGTGAGATCTTTTATTACATGTTTAGCATGCAGTCATGATTATTATTTCTGTGCTTATTTCAGATTACAAAACACTTGCTAGCAATACCAGGCATTGAACCAAATGCAATGAACAACAATGGTCTTACAGCCTTAGATTTGGTTGAAAATTCACCTAAAGACTTAAAAGGACTTGAGCTACTCAACTTCCTTCTACAATCGAACGCTATTAAACGATCAACCAACACTCATTCATCTCTCTCAGCCGCGATAACCCAACCGCCAACAACACATCCTAGGCAACCAAGGCCTAAAAAGTCCTGGACAAAGTTTTTCACCTTCAATAGTCATAACCAGTTACAAGATATGAAAGGTGAAATATTTATTACCGCGGCTATAATAGCCGCGATAAATGCATTGCCTATCATCTACATGAGGGTAAATGGACCGGATTTAACCGGTCAATATGTGATCAACTCGGCTTCATTTGTGCCTGCTGTTACAATAATGTTGCTAATAGTAGCCGGTTTTCCCTTAAGTAACAAGCTTTGTGCTTGGCTTGTGATACAATGTTTGTACACTTCAATTGGATTTTTGGGGTTGAATTATCTTGGAGAGATGGTCTCAAATGAAAGTCGATACTCAACTGTGAATTTTGTGTTTATTTTCGTGTCGATTTGGTTCGGGTTGCTTATGTTAGTAAGTGCACTAAATGTCATTCGTTTGATTGTGTGGATAGTGAAGAGCATCAAAATGTGTATGAAGCGTAGAAGGTTGCGCCTTGGAAGAGAGAATTCTATGGCAAATAATGCTTAATGTAAGGGTGAATATTGTACATTAAAAGTTTGTAATTGCTGCTCAAATTTACTTTTATTTCTTTGATCTGATGTAACACTAGTCAAAGTTTCCTCTGTTTTTTCTTTTTAGAAAAAAAAAAAAGTTTCCTCTGTTTAAAATAACATGGTTTATGTATTGATTGATTATGTGGCCGTGTAAATTATTATGTGTATACTACATACAAGTAATATGTTATATCTATTAGATTTTTATGGTTTACATTTGATTTCACATTATTACATTAGTAATAATTGAAGTTATTACAAATGGTACATCGTTTTTGACTTTTTGGTGGGAGATCTACATACCCTACATATACGATATACCATATACACATAATCTTAGAACATATGCAAAGTATCTTCCAATCTGTAGCACATCAAAATATGTGTTTTTCCCCCTAAAATGACCTCAACACCACATGCTTTATCATTGTGCATGCCCCAAAAAAGTATACAACACATTCTTTATATACGTAGTAATATACTCCATTCGATAAAAATTGACACAATTTGATTTTAACTGTAACTTTTGAGTAATATATGAAAATCAATTAGTATCACGTTGAACAACTTTAGTTAGACATTTATGTGATGATCAAACTCAAGCATTGAAATATGTGTCAAAGTGTCAAACCCCTACCGGCTAGACGAAAAGAACATTTCTCAACCTATATTGCTTAATGACTATATTGACTAAGTACCTAAATGATGATGTTTAGTGTTGACACAAATAAAGTTGTGCTTATTAGGTGGTAACATCTTAAACACCTAAATAATTAATGACAAAATAAACTTAAATTTTCCTATAGTTAGTATCAATATAACAGTTAGTATCAATATAACGCTTTGTTGATATTAAGATGGTACTATTTTTTTTTTTTTTTTTAAAGGAAAATCTTAATGCTTGAGTTATATCAATATCTTAATGCTATTATATTATGTGGCCGTGTAAATTATATTGATATAACTCAAGCATTAAGATGGTACTATTTGAATAATTTAAACATTACAAATTCTTAAATAGACCTGGTTCACACTAATTTATTGTGGACCACTAACATTAGAGAAAGTATGGTTGTTTTATTAATAAAAAAAGGGTCACTATAATTTTAAAAAAAAAAAGTCACTATGTTAAACTAAAAATCATTTTGGTAATATATAGGCCTAAGTGGTTATTTTTGTAATGAAATATTTTATATACTGATCAATATGAATAATAAAGGCCACTATGTTAAAATTAGGATAATAGCGTCGTGTTTCAAGTTCACAATATTATTAAACGTTGTAGTAGTTTTAATAAAGGTTACTATGTTAAAATTAAGGTTACTATGTTAAAAATAATGGTCACTATGTTCAATATAACGTTAGTTGCGTGTGTATAGACCTCAGGTCCACAATAATATTATTGTTGACCAGGTCCACGCAAGTCTTTTTGTTTAAACATAACTTTAAATCACCAAGAGTTATCTCAGTTATTAATCATCCGAAGATCATTGAGTATATTTTTTTTGAAAGATCATTGAGTATAAACTATAAAGTAACGGTGATTCATTTTTTCTTAAGCATCGTGCAAGAGAAGCCCCTCTTATGTCTTGTGGTCACCTAAATCATAATTTAGCGTATACACCAAACACACAAAGAACACGCATTTTATCCATAGTTATCTTCTTTCCATTATTAGCTGTTACTTTCCTACATTATTTGACCAAGCCCAACATTCAAAGTCAAACTATCCAACTAGCCTAAACTTTCCTTGTTATCTTGACTTTCTTATACTTGGTACCAAAGCTACTATAAAACTTGTTCTATGAACTAACCAAAATGTACAACTTGCATCTAATTTAAAAGAGTAAAATAGAAGAGAGGAAAAAAAAATGGAAATGGAGAAAAAGTTGTATGAAGCTGCTTTTGAAGGAAATGTGCCAAATTTAAAAGCATTAATACAAGAAGATCCCTTAATACTTGATAGAATCTCAACAGCATTCTTCCAAGACACCCCTTTACATGTTGCAACCTTACGCGGGCGCCTCGAGTTTGTACATGCTGTACTCAGCCACAACCCCCAGCTTGCGGCCGAGCCTGACTCGCTCGGCCACTTGCCCCTCCACGTCGCTTCCGCCAAGGGAAACGTGGAGATCGTCCGTGAGCTTTTACGTGTGGGACCGAGTTCGTGCCTTGCTCGTACCAAGGATGGGAAGTTGCCCCTTCACTTGGCTATAATGAAGGGGGTCAAGGTTGAGGTGTTGACCGAGTTGACTCGGGCGTGTCCCGAGTCAACTCGGTCGAGGGTGGATGGAGGGTGTAGTATTTTGCACTTATGTGTGAGGTATGATAATTTGGATGCTTTAAAGGTGTTGGTTGAGATGTTTAAAGGTCAAAGTGATTGTAACGACTTGTTGAATGAAATAAATGATGATGGTAATACTGTCTTGCATTTGGCTGCTTTACATAAGAATTTGGAGGTACTCTTTTTGTCCTGTTAACCTTTTTTTTTTTTTTTTTTTTTTTACTCGTATGTCTTAAAAATTAATCATGTCTTTTATACACCTTTTCGTGCATTAATACTAATACAAAGTACCATTTAAATTTTTAAACTATTCGTCTAATAATTATTAATTATTTGGAGTAAGATGTTGTTCACTCCACCTTAATTTTACTGAATTGAAATTATTTTTACTAAAATAAAATTATTTTGTCCATAAATTGTTACTCGTATTACCAAGATAAAGTTATCCTCGTTTATATTTCAATTATTTTATCAATCTTATTAGCCCTAAACTTTTTTTATTTAATTATGAAGTACTCCGTATCAATCTTTAATTATCTTATCTTATCATATCAATCCTATCTTTTATTCGTCTTTATTTGAATTATATTCTATTATCATATCATAAATTAATTATTTTATCTCATTTGAGCTTTTTTTAGACTTAAAATATTTGTTGCTTAAATTGATCATGGTATTGAAATTAATTGACTCCAATTCATTGTATGAATGTATGTCTTTATTTACCGGTATGATAGAAATTCATATACTACGTATTTGAATAACAAGTACTTTTGTACTCCGTATTACCAATAATATACATCATATTATGAATAAATAAATAAATTAATTAAAAAAAATAAAAACTTATTCTTCTATTTCCTTTTCTAGGTTACAAAATACTTGTTAGAAACAACAAGTATTGAACAAAATGCAGTGAACAACAATGGTCTTACAGCCTTAGATTTGGTCGAAAACTCTCCTAAAGACTTCAAAGGACTCGAGCTACTCAATCTTCTCCTTCGATCCAACGTTCGAAAACCAACCACTAACACTCAACCATCAAAAATAAGCACCCAAGTAAACAATGCAACCTCACATTCTAAACCACCAAGCCCAAAAAAGTCATGGAAAAGATTTTTCACATTCAATGATGATAACACGAAACATTTGGAAGATATGAAAGGCCAAATATTAATTATCGCGGCTATTATAGTCACGATTAATGCATTGCCAATTATCTACTTGAAGGTAAATGGACCTGATATACCTGACCAATTCTCAATAAACTCGGGTTCATTCGTGCCTGCTGTAACGATCATATTGTTACTAGTAAGTGGTTTACCCTTAAGAAACAAATTTTGTGGTTGGCTTGTGATACAGTTGATGTATAGTGCTATCGGATTTTTGGCACTGAATTACATTGGACAAATGCTTTCAACTGAAAGTCGATACTCAAAACTCGATGTTGCTGTTATTCTTATGTTGATTTGGTTTGGGTTGTTGATTATTGTTAGTGCACTTAATATCATCCGGTTGATTGTATGGGTTGTAACGAGTATCAAAAGGCGTATAAAGCAAAGGAAATCGCGTGGTAGAAGAGAGGATGCATTGTCAAATGCTTGAGCAAGTGAAATTTTCTAGCTATTCCAGTTTCATTTAATTTGTTTGTTTAATTTTAAGTTGCTCAATTTTTCATTGTTTGTTTGATGTAACAAGGTTGGTGTATGTATGTAGATTTATTGATTAGAGTGTTGCTATTAAGCTAAGTGATTGAACAAACCTTAAAGTAACGGTAAAAGTATGATAAGTTGTTGCTAAAATTCATTTGTTAATGCAAAATTTATTACATTATATACATTATGAGAATACCTAGCTTGTACAATTTTATTTTCTTGGGCTTTGAGTGATAATACCAAAATATCTAAGTAGCTAATCATCAAATTAAAAATGTATAAGGTTTTAAAGGTCTAGATTAATTTCTTGTTCTTTATCAATTTTTAAAAGCCTGCTAAATGATAAAACACCATCCTAAAAAAAAGATAATTGTTGTCTTCAATAAAATATTTATTTTTTGCTAAAATTTACTCACAAATTAATAGACAATTACAATTTACAACTGAAAATATATCATTCAGCGACTGCAATTAAACGATAATATCAGTAAATACAGGCAATTAATTTTGAAATATTACATTCATCGTTACTCCAAGATTATACATATGTCCTGATTTCCTCAAATAACATAATTGAATTGTATTAATCTTTTGTAGCACAATATAACATAAACCAATTCGAATAATTATTCTAATCAAGATTCAAGAACAAAAGATAAATTTAAAGAAAAGTAACAATCTATATCTTATTTATTAATCATAACACGAAAGTTTATGCACTATAACATTATTTGATCATACTAAACTAAACATCCCACGCAATTTAAGTTTTACACCCGAAAAATTAAAATCGACACGACAATGCTACCAAATTAATGGTCATGGTACGACCTCAAGTTAAACTATCAATGTAACAAGAAAGTCGAACGACTAATGGATCAACGAAAGGCCTTAAAGTAAAAAACTTGATTCCTATGATCATAATAAATCCCAATTTTATCATCCTTATTAAACCCACGAGTCTTGAACAAATCTATATTAACCCCAAGAACATAATCATCCTGTCCACCTTTTTCAATAAAAGTCGTCTCATCGTACGGACCGTACACAACAGGGGCATTTTCGTCAGTCAAATCACAAACAGAAACATGGACTTTATTACCCGTAACAATTTTGTTGGCAGTCTCTAAACTAGAGTAACGAAACACATGTTCAAAAACATCGTCATGACTCAACCGAATCTTACCGGTAGCAATCTCGTTCACGTCTAAGGATTTCTGGATCCGCCACGGGTCGTACTTCTTGTCGAGGTTGTCTTTCGAGTCGAGGTTTGGCATAAGCATGGTTGGAACCGAGGAATCGTCTCGAATTTCGATGAGGATACGGGGGACTTGGGTTGAATTCGTTACACCTCTAGCACTCACATCCATCTCTTCTTTCTTGGTGGGCAAGAAATTGTACAAGTATGTTTTCTTCATGCTTGATGTTGATTCTTGTAGTTTCATCTTGTGTTTTTGGAGATTTTTTGGACTATTTTATTTTTGTGGAGGTCTATTATGATGTATAACAAGGGTTTAAAGGGTTTTTTTTTTTATAAAGAAATATTATTGGGGATTGAATTAAGATTGATTTATTTCCTTAATGAGAATATATGCTAATATTTATAGGTTGGGAGTGTAAAGGAAAGTTGTGATATTGTGTGAAGAATCTGAAGATACTAAATCAATGAGATTTTGTGTCCAAAAAAAAAAGAAAAAGATATCAATGAGTTTTTTTTTTTTTTTTAAAAAAAAAAAAAAAAAAAAAAAAAAAAAACAAGAAATCAATAAGATTTTGTAACGGTTTTGGGCTAGGTTATCTTTTTTCCATTTTTTTAAGGCTGGAAAATATATTGGTTATGCAATAAATTATTTATTAATTAGCTGTGTATTTGGACTTAATTATATGAGTCAATTCATATCTTGCAATGTTTTATTTTTGTTTTTTGTTGTATAATTTAAATAATCGGTAAATAATACAAGTATTTGTTGATTGCTTCTGATAGTTTTAGGTAGAACGGTCGAAAGTTGATCCGACCCGAAATACCGATTATTAACCGACCCATCTGAACCCGAAAAAATGGTGACCCAATCCCGACGTGACCCGACCTGAAACCAACCCTAGATCCGAGTTGACCCGAGTATGTGAGACCCGAACCCGAACATGAAATGACCTGGAGATGACCCAACCCGAATGTAACCCGTACATTATTGGCGAGAACCGAACCCGACTGGAACCAAAATTGACCCAAACCGTTTAACCTCGTCAAATCCCGAATTTAACCCGACTTGTTACTAGCCTGACCTGAATTCAACCCGACCCAAATTTAACCTAACCTGATACAAACCCGACCCGAAATCAACCCGACCTATTACTAACCCGACCCAAAAATTCAACCCGATTTGTTACTACCCCAGGCCAACTCGAAATAAACACGACTTGTTATTGACCCGACCTAAATTCAACCCAAATTGTTCCTAACCCGACTTCAAATCACCTTGAATGCAATTTAGACCACCTTATTATTGATCAAAGCATTTTGTCCAGGAAGACCAAGTCGGTCCAGGCCAGCAAAAGAAAGGAGCATCATCCTCAAATTTAAGAGTTAAATATAGTATATATATATTTGTTGTATGGTCAAAGAAGATAATTATATGCCTAAACTATATACTATAGTTCACTAGTATGTTGTCATATTATTATAGTCAAAGGAAATAATTAGCTTGATAAAAATGATAATTATCTATTTACAATTAGTTGAACCCGAATATGACCCGACTTGGAAATAACCCGACCTGATTGTAACTTGCAAATTATTGACTTGAACATAACCCAACTTGAATCCGAGAATGACTCGACTTAGAAATGACCTAACCTGATTATAACCCGTAAATTATAGACTTGAACCGAACTCGACTTGAACTCGAGAATGACCCGACTTGAAAATGACCCGACCTGATTATAACCCGCAAATTATTGACTTGAACCGAACCCGACTCAAACCCGAGAATGACCCGACCTGATTCTAACCCGCAAATTATTCACTTAAACCGAACCAGACTCGAACCCGTAAATTACCCTAACCAGTTTTAACCCGTGAAAACCTGAATTAAACCCGATCTATTGTACACCCGACCCGAATGTAACCCGACCTAAACCCGACCCAAACCAAATAAGAAGTATGACCCAACGTGACCCAACTCAAACATGACCAAACCCAAACCGCATAAGTTGTGGAATTAATCCGAATTGACCCGGCCCGAATTGACCCGACCCACTCTTACCAACCCAAACCTGACCCGTTTACCAAATTGACGGCTCTACCTGAAACTAGGGTTGTGCACCGGTCCAAAACCGGACCGGAATAGACCGGAACCCGAAATCGAGTTTTTTTGGGGACCGGGACCGGACCGTAATCAACCGGTCCGGGTTCCGGTCCAGACCTGTTTATTCCGGTCCGGTCCGGTTTTGGACCGGAATGGACCGGTTACATTATTTTTTTGTTTTTCTTTTTCATTTTAGTATCTTAATATATACATATATTTTTAACATCTTGTTTTTGTTTGCGTGTTTTCCTATTTTACACCTAGAATTTATAAATTACAAGTTTTGTACCTATATTTTTTAGAAATTTAAACATAAAATGTAAAATTTTCACCCAAAAAATAACAAAAATACACATTCCGGTCCATTCCGGTCCGGACCGGAATATTCCGGTTTTTACCCGGACCGGAAACCCGGAATCCCTAATTTGTAAGGACCGAAGACCGGACCGAAATCAACCGATCAAGGCCAGTCCAGTCCAATTTCGGTCCGGTCCCGATCGGTTTTCCGGTCCAGGTCCATTTCTGCACACCCCTACCAAAAACCTCCAAAATTTCTCAAAAAGCGTGGATATTAGCCTTCAATTTTGGAATTTTTTGACTTTTTTTCATCCGGAAATAAAAATTGAAGAAATGTTTACCATGGTCCCTAATACCCTCCGGGAGTCCAATTGGTTAGGTGGAACCATCCAATTTGCCTTTAAACGACCAATATACCGGTTTACAACTTGCACCGGTTTCATTAATTCAAGCCTACCACGAACATTTATGACAACATATAATGATCATATATGGATCCAAACAACATTATATGACCCCGAGATGTATCCCCTATAATCTGAAGGCTTTCCGACACCAGGCCCGAAACCTCCAAAATTTCTCAAAAAGCATGGATATTAGCCTTCAATTTTGGAATTTTTTTACTTTTTTTCATCCAGATATAAAAATTTTCCGAAACAATTACCATGGTCCCTAATACCCCCCGGGAGTCCAATTGGCTGGGTAGAACCATCCAATTTGCCTTTAAACGGCCAATTTACCGGTTTACAACTTGCACCGATTTCATAAATTCAAGCCTAACACGAACATTTATGACAACATATAATGATCATATATGGTTCCAAACGGCATTATATGACCCTGAGATGTATCCCCTATAATTTAAAATTTTTTCGACACCAGGCCCTGAATTTTCCAAAATTTCTGAAAAATCATGGATATTAGCCTTCAATTTTGGAATTTTTTGACTTTTTATCACCCGGATATAAAAATTTCCGAAATGTTTACCATGGTCCCTAATACCCTTCGGAAGTCCAATTGGGTGGGTGGAACCATCCTATTTGCCTTTAAACGGCCAATTTACCAGTTTACAAGTTGCACCGATTTCATTAACTGTACTCAAGCCTACCACGAACATTTATGACAACATATAATCATCATTTATGGCTCCAAACGGCATTATATGACCCTGAGATGTATCCCGTAAAATCTTATTTCTTTTCAACACTGGGCTCCGAAACCTTCGAAATTTCTCAAAAAGCATGGATATTCAATTTCGGAATTTTTTTACTTTTTTCGCACAGAAATAAAAATTGCCTATAAAATGGTCCCTAATACCCCCCCCCCAGGAGTCCAATTGGGTGGGTGAACCATCCAATTTGCCTTTAAACGACCAATTTAGCGGTTTAAAACTTGCACCGATTTCATTAACTCAAGCCTACCACGATCATTATATGACAACATATAATGATCATATATGGATCCAAACAATATTATATGACCCCGAGATGTATCCCCTATAATCTGAAGGCTTTCCGACACCAGGCCCCGAAACCTCCAAAATTTCTCAAAAAGCATGGATATTAGCCTTCAATTT